GTAAATCAAACCCTTCACCAGATGTTACCGCCACCAGAAAACAGCTTTCCAGGTCAACAACTGAAATGGAAATAGCCGGATAGGTGTGAGAAAGTGGGACCGACAGCCAATCGAGCACGATCGACAAATCCTTAAGGTGGACTGGTTCGCCTGAGCAGGTCGAATCCGTTCACCAGCCGCAGAAAGCGCTTGTACGAGAGGGTGCTGCCCCAGAAGAGCACCATCGACAGGGTGTGAAAAATGGAAATAGCGGTGAGTAGCGCGGCTGAATGGTCGGGCCGCCAGGCCTTTCCAAACGAGCTTGCAAAACTCAATACTGGACTAAATCCGCGAGAAAAGGGATCTGCAATCCCTATTCTGAACACCAGCGCATAGCCGGAACCACCTATCCTCGCATACTGAACGCTTATCGAATCCCCTCCGAAGCCAGAATTGTGTCTGCAACTGCTGCAGGAATTCCGCGCGCTCGAGGTTAGACCTGACAGAGGCCAAGCCACCCACTGAATCCGGTGGATTTGGGTGGGCCCGCTCTGAGTGAGAATGTCCGGGTCGCAAAGGTAATAGAACAGGAGGCTGAGCCAGAAACCTGAGAATTACCGAAACCAGCCCTGTGACGGCCAAAGCGGTGCCAGTAGCACAAGTAGCCGAGCTGGCTGGGTGGACAGCTGTGAAAGGACACGGGAATGAGTGGTAATGGCGGAACGCCCAGAGCACTTTTGCCCGTCTAATCCAGCAGGAAGGCGCGGCAGCCAACGCCCTGGGTCCGTATCCGAGAGCAGAACATCGGTGTCTGATGCCCCGCCGACGCAAACAGATCCACCTCGAATCGACCCGTACAACTGGGAGATTACTGTGAATATCTGCCTGTCGAGCATCCACTTCGTCAAGGGCCAGGATCCGGCGAGAGCCGCGATCTGCTCGCGACGCTTCTCCAGCCCCGGAGATAAACAGGGAGTACCTGACAATCGTGATTGGTCGCCTCCAGAGGAGAAAGTCCACGCTTCCCGGAGGAACGCTGGGGACACCGCGCCTCCCTGCTTCAGGATGTACGACATGGCCGTCTGGTTGTCTAACTGAAGACGGACTACCTGGCCACGGACATGCTCTGAAGCGCCAATACCAACCGCACAGCTCTCAGTTCCAACACGCTGATGTGAAGGTGAGCTTCGCTTCGACCAGAGTCCGGAAGCCGACAGACTGCCCAGAACGCCCCAGCCTGTGAGGGACGATCTGTCTGAACTGTGAGAGCTGGCGTCGGGATTTCCAAGGGGAACCCCCTGGTGAGATTCCCCGACATTTGTCCACCACTGAAGGTGAGGTGTCAACCACTTTCGGGGACTGTGAGACTGCGCTTCCAGATCCTCCGTGTGAGTCCACAGCCGAGCCAAAGCTTGCTGTATGGGACGATCCTCAACCGCCCGCCACACTACAGAGATCGCCGCCGCCATATGGCTCCAGTAGACGGAGCCAAGTCCGTGCTGGTGCCTGGGGCTGGGAGAGGAATGAAGAGACCATCTCCCTACTCTGGTGACCCGGTCGGGCGACAAGGAAACGAGATCCTTGTTCGTTTGGAATCGCTCAAGAAAACCAAGTCCTGGGTGGGTACCAGGTGGATTTCTTGAGGTTGATGATCCACCCCAGTCGAGTTAGAATGTCTATCACTGTGTGAGTAGCATCTTGACTGCTGGCTGTGTTAGTGCTCGAGCAACCAGTCGTCTAGGTAAGGGTAACAACGCTTTCCTTTGGCGCAGCGAGCTAGGGTAGCTGGGACTAACATGAGCTTGGTGAACACCCTTGGGGCAGTCGATATGCCGAAGGGGAGCACCCTGAATTGGTAATACATCCCGGTCGTAAGAGAACCGAAGGTACTGCTTGAACGATGGATGTATGGAATACATGCAGATACGCGCATCCTTTAGGTCGATTGACGTGAGCCAATCGCCGGGCTGAACAGATGAGATCACCGGCGCAGTGTCTCCATCTTGAAGGATGGTACTTCGAGCATGCGATTCAACCCCTTGAGGTTGAGAATCGGACGAAACCCGCCGTCTTTCTTCGACGCAGGAAGTACGTGGAAATAAATCCCGCCTGTTCCTCTCCTCCCGGTGGAATGCGCTTCGATTGGGACTTGTCCAGCAGAGCCTGAACCGTCACAGCAATATGTCCCCTGGCTTGACATGACGGCACCGAGTGCGACGTATGCCGTGAAGTCGGGCGACCTCGGCTTCCACAGTGGGAGATGGCCTATGCTGACCGTGGCCAGCACCCAAAAGCGTTGTTGGTAGCCTTCTCCCATTCCGCAGGAATAGAGAGAGGCGGCCTCCCACTGGGATATGGGGTAGGGAGGCGTGTAGACCCGAGTAGCGGAGCTGACTGGGCGCGGACACATGGCTTGAGCGGCAGCCTGATGGGTTAACGGGAGGTCGGGCAGACCTCCCGCGCCCGAAAAGGCTGGGAGCTAGTCGAGGACTGCCTCTTGCCCCTACCCTTGGCGGACCTGTTCCTCCGCCTACCCCTACCAAGCGGCCGGCCAGCCGGGCAGACTCGGGTGTAGGCTGCACCCCGGCGGAGGAAGGTGGCACGGGCGCGGGGCGAGACACCGCTGGTGCTCCAACAAGGCCTTAGAGTCCTTGAAGGAGGTAGCTGCAGCCGCAGCCTCCGTATGACCTGCTGGGCCCCTGGAAAGAGGGTCGCCCCAGACGGAAAGGGAGGGCCAGCAAGGTCTGCTGTGTTGCTGCCGAGTACCTAGGCGCCGACAGCCACAGCCTGGGCGCATCCCCATGACTGCGCGCATCACCGCCGACGCGAAAGCAGACCGCGAAAGAGTCGCGCGCGGTGAGCCTGCACTTCCAAAGCTGACGGAGCAGCCACGACATCGCGGCGCCACGCCGCCAGCATGCCCTCGCCTTCCAGGGCCGACCTCTGAACCGAGGAGAGGTAGGCCTCATGGACCACCACGCACCTGCTGCATCAGCGTTCCGCAGACCTCCTCAGAACCGGTGCCGCGTGCGCAGGGGATACCAGCTGAGGGCAAAAGGTGGAGTTAGGGCCTTGCCGAGCAGCCGGAGCTGCTCCGGAGGAAGCCGAGCCTCCCCAGGGCGACGGAAGTGAAAACACATTCGTCAACAATTGGTACAACGAACAGGGAATCCTCCCCAAGCTGGTAGCGCCGCGACGAAGTTCAGGTAAGTCAAACCTTACTCAGGCACCAGACAAGAGGGGATCGACCACGCCCGAGACCAACGATGGCAGAATGCGAGCTGCGCCTGTGAGGGTTGCCTAGGGGCAAACGCCTTCGCCAGGCAAGCGGAACTCAGTCGAGTCCACGCAACCAGCAGGCACCGCTGCCTGGGGTAGGCCCTCGGCAATTCTCTGCCGGACCTCTCGCGAAGGCCGGCAAAACGGAAGCCGCCAGTCATGCTCCTCGACCTCCCTAAGCTCCATTGCCTCGGCGTCCGAGCCCGAAGTCAGAGGCTGGGTCTCCTCCGTAAGAGGACCCTAACCCCGACCCGGTGGACTGCCTAACGCTAGGAACCACAGGAAGGGAAGAACAGACAGACTGCTCCACGCCAGCGCAGCCGGCGCGTGCGTGGACCCGGTCCCGGTGACGCTGGAGGCAGGCCAGGCAGAACTGGTGCCTCCGCTCTCATGGGGCGGTGTGCGCAAGGACCGGAATACCAGGAATACTCAACGGCCCTCGCTACGAGCCCGAGAGGGGACTGGGAGCACCTCCCTCTCGGAGCAGCCGAGGCAACCGGATCTACCAGAGGCAACGGATCTACAGACGCCGAGGCCGATCGATCGAGCCGAGCCCGGCGATCCCACCCCGGACTTCTTCCGCCGTCCGGAGTGGGTGAGGAACTCCTGCCGGAGACCTCCAACCGACTCACGAACGGCGACTTCATCGAGTCCATCTGCTGGAAACATAGACTCCATCAGTGACATGTCCACTCTGCTGGAGAGGGGAAGGGCTGGATTTTTTCCCTTTTTGAACATAGACTCGCCAGGTCCCCTCCCCTCCACGATTTCGCATAGAACAAGGTGTCGGCAGCCCGCCTCTTCTGGGCCCGGGGAAAAGGCCAGACAAATAGTGCAGGAGTCAGCCTCATGGCCTGTTTTCCAGACAGGCCACGCGAACTGGTATGACTGTCGGCCCGGGGGATACTCCCCTCACAGACCGAACAGCATGAAAAGGCCTGAAACAAACACGCAAACATGTTAGTTAACGGCGGCCAGCAGCATATAAACACGTAGAAAACATTGAAAAACTACGTGAAGGTTACCACGGAAAGTAATAGTTGGTTTTAATAATGCCAATATTACGACCATTACATGGCACGCTAAACTTCCCGCCATGGCAGAGCAACACGGCGTAACCACGGAAAGTTCGGCGTATTTTGTATTAATACAAAGTCACAATTATGAAACAACCAACTGTAAAGCTTTACTGTTCCTTGTTTTAGGCAAATAAAGACCATACATACAGGTGGTGTCTCAGACATAGCTTTCTTAGTAGCTTTCAGCGCTGTCCGGCTCATGAAGTGCGTTCTATAAACACGTCTGTTCACGGCAGTGACAGCAGAAGGAATGATGATACGGGTCTAGGAGCCTACCCAGTTGGTGCGCATGCTCTAAGGGAGGTAACTCCGTGAGGTAGGGTCCGTATAATAAATAAAAGAGTTTATTTATTGTACAATCTTTTTATTCAAAAAACATTGATACAACTGTCACAGGACATTTTTCAGCCGGAAAATGCATAATATGTACCCCAAGGACGATCTCTCTGAAAAAGAATCATGTTCTTTTCACAAACAGGGCAGCATCACTTGTATTGGCAAAAACAAGAACCCTTACATATTTCCCTCATGTGCAAGAACAGTTGGCGGAGGTGATGCTACCTCGTCTGAGGATGGCCAAGAGTAGTCCTGACTGGGTTATCTCCCTTCCACTGAACACTGACTATGCTGGAAACAAATGGCTTGCTCAGCCCTTAGCCTTACTCAGAGGGACCAAGCAGCTCTCTCCTTTAATGCTGATGTAGTGCAAGCCCTGTTCCCCGTAGTAGGAAGAGTCAGACACCTCTGTGGACGTCAGGATCAAAACAGCTGTGCCTGCAACATGTAACATGATTACCAGATTAACTCTTAAGAACTACTGCACATTATCAACAATGATGATATTTCTTAGGATACTCTCTGCCTAGTGATCCTCCAAATGCTATCTGTAGGGGTTATCTCCCATAATGGAAAGGCAGAAAAAAACTCATAATTTTTACAAGTAAAGGAATTCTGTGATTTCTGTGGGATAGACAGGTGGGCCTTCGCCTCAAGTATCATAGATGTTGAAGAGTTATTGTCACTGTTGATACTGTCCAAAATTCTTGCCAAATCCCACATGAGGCTTGGTGGGCCCAGAGTACCTCCAATCTATGTGAGGAAGACGTCCAAAAAACACAAGTCTAAATGTTAACTGATCAATACAAATAGACCTGCGTTTCGTTGATGTGACAACACTTGAGTACCCATCCTGCTTCTGTACCTACTATGATGGTGGAGTGTAACATCATCTGGTTAACAATACTTCTGAAGACATCACTTCTGGTATACAGTCAGGCCGCGGTAATCCGGTCCTCGTTAATCCGATTCCACCGACTTCCGAACGCTACTCACCGGGCACCAAATCATCTCCCTATATATTGTATATAATTGACACCTCGTTAGTCCGGTGATTCAGTTTCCGCCTCCGAACGCTGGTCAGTCGGAACGGATTGGACTAATTAAGTTGTAAACAGCTGCGTTAATCCGAACGATTGAAGTTGACCGCGCTGCTGACTTGTCCACTCAAAGTGACACGTTGTTTGTTTAGCGACTTAGCGACTCATCCCTTTAATCCCTTTATCATAAGTGATAGGGAAATTTTGACGAACACGCTGTTTTGGGAAAGACTTCAATCCAGAAATATATGCTCGGTACCGAATTAAAATTATAAACTATTTTTCGCAATGTTATTGAAAACGATTCTCGGACACATGCTTCGGCAGCGGGTCCACAGTAACATTGTCAAAGAGCAAAGTTACGATGTAAATTGAATAAACTAATAGGTAGCGATTTCTTGCTTAATATGTTCAAAATAGCATTATTTTACCCAAAACTTTCGTCCTAAATCTAAAAGTTTTCGCTTTTGAGGACGATATCCATTGCTGTGATATGATTGGCTGCCTTAGGTCACGTGGTTCTGATTTTGACCAATCACTTACCCTTATAGCAGACTGTAGCTTAAAAGCGCCATTAGAAACAAATATTTATCCAATAAAATCGCTTCTTACAACTGTGAAAATACTCTCGGCAAGGGTTCAGTGATGTTGTTGATGTTCAGAACTTTTCGAACGATACCTGACATCAAACGATTCGCCTCCCATGTTATTCATAATGACGCCAAAACGGAGGAGGTATTTTCGTTGTTATGTCATGTTACCGGTAGCGGAAAGCCACTGATATCAGGAAATAGGCAACCATACATATTATTTAAGAAATCTTTTATAATAATTTTCTGATGACGTAAAAATGAAAATATAAAAGAAAAAGGCACTGGCATGTTATGACATGTCACAAATGGAAAAAAATCGGCATAGTTTTTGAATAACATTATAAAAATAAACTTCATATTTATCAACAGTAGGATTATAATTTCCTTCATAAACATAGGCTTCATCTATGACCTCAGAGTCTCGATAGTAAGGAAAGATATCAAGGGGAAGTAACTCGGTGCATATACTGTGGTTTCAGCAGTACGAACGTTTCACTATCCGAACGTTTTTTTTTAAAAACCAAAGTGTTCGTATTAACGAGGTCTGACTGTATATCTTGTATACTCAATTGTGAAACGAAGTGGTATAACTGACTGGATATAGCCCGCTTCTTATTTCAGTTGTAGTCTACTGTTTGAGGCGTTAGACTCACTTAATGCAGCAAGAAGTGTTTCCAGGTTCACATTAACCAACCTCATGTCTTTGCTGAAAAGTAACTCATGCCCAGTGACTTGTACCGGGAGTTGTTAAACGTCAAACTCGGTGTAAACATAGCTTCTCCATCAGGCACCTAACCACTCCCAAACCTTTTCTACCCAAAGAAGGAAAGGGCAGACTGAGTGACAACCATCCAGTATGGATGCCATCTGAAAGTTGGGAGGTCATCCCAGTGGAGGATCTTCAGATCAATCATCCTGAGGTCTGTTGAACCCTCCTTGGGGAACAGGAATACTTAGAGAAGAACCCTGGTCAGTGATCTGAAGATTCCAAGTTGTTGACAGCTTTCATGTTTAAAAGCTTGTATATTATCTCTCGTCGCTATTGAAAGCTTCCCAAGCAGGTACTGCTAGAGCTGATCCATTTATAACTGTGTGGGTGTCCCATTATATGATCAGCAGGTCTCAGCAACTCTTGGTGCTCAGGCTGCCTGTGTCGCTAGAGTCATGGTCCATAACTTGAGCATCTGGGTAGACCTCAGCTGAAGTGCCTCAAGTCTAGCTCTTTTCTGTGGAGTATATAGATCATGCTTACGGGGTCTATTTTGTGATAATGCTGAGACCTGATCTGCAAGACCCTTGATGAGATCTCCAAAAGGGTTCTAGGCCTCAGATAAAGCCTCCTCTGGGATGAACTTTGGTTTAACTCTTCTGGACAGATGGGATGTGTCTAGATCCGACAGGGCAAGGGGGACATCCAGCTTAATCCACTTTGCAGGCTGGAGTTATAGAACATATTTTTGTTAATGCTGCTGGTGACAGGGAATTTTTTTGTGTCTGATGGGAAGTACCCTTAGATTTACCAATGTTTACAAAAGAAGAGAAAGAGTAACCTTTGTTTACAAAACAAGAGACAATACATATACTGACTGACTGACTGAGTTTGGTTTTACGCATTTTAGCAAAATTTTCAGAGAACACTTGGAGGACCACTAGAACGATACACAAACATACATAAAGCTCAGACTGACAGACTGACTGAGTTTGGTTTTTACGCCGCTTTTAGCAATATTCCAGCAACATCATGGCGGGGGACACCAGAAATGGGCTTCACACATTGTACCCATGTGGGGATTCGAACCCGGGTCTTCGGCGTGACGAGCCAACGCTTTAACCACTAGGCTACCCCACCACCCCACATGCATACATATAAGCTACAGGAATAACCATGAGGTTTTGCTGTGCTTTCATTTGGGGAGATAACTCCCGTGGACAGCACTTGGAGGACCACTAGAAAGAAAGACAATACAAAAAACAGGACTTTTTTCAAGCTCAGTCTGTGGATTCAGAAAAATGTTTCAGAAAAAAGGCAATGAAGTGTTGGCAGGACATATTCATAAGAACTATACATATTCAGCGTTGGGTAAATCTCATGGAACTGGTCCAGGTGGAACTAGAATGTATACAATGGTGAAGGTCAAGTATAACTCAGTTCAGTGATGAGAGAAATTACACTACTCAGTTCAGTGATGAGAGAAATTACTCTACTCAGTTCAGTGATGAGAGAAATTACCCTACTCAGTTCAGTGATGAGAGAAATTACTCCTACTCAGTTCAGTGATGAGAGAAATTACTCTACTCAGTTCAGTGATGAGAGAAATTACTCTACTCAGTTCAGTGATGAGAGGAATTACTCTACTCAGTTCAGTGATGAGAGAAATTACTTCAGTGATGAGAGGAATTACTCTCTCAGTTCAGTGATGAGAGGAATTACTCCCACTCAGTTCAGTGATGAGAGAAATTACTCTACTCAGTTCAGTGATGAGAGGAATTACTCTACTCAGTTCAGTGATGAGAGAATTACTCTACTCAGTTCAGTGATGAGAGAAATTACCTACTCAGTTCAGTGATGAGAGAAATTACTCTACTCAGTTCAGTGATGAGAGAAATTACCTCTACTCAGTTCAGTGATGAGAGAAATTACTCCTACTCAGTTCAGTGATGAGAGAAATTACCCTACTCAGTTCAGTGATGAGAGAAATTACTCCACTCAGTTCAGTGATGAGAGAAATTACTCCTACTCAGTTCAGTGATGAGAGAAATTACTCTACTCAGTTCAGTGATGAGAGAAATTACTCTACTCAGTTCAGTGATGAGAGAAATTACTGATGAGACTCACCCAGTTCAGTGATGAGAGAAATTACCCTACTCAGTTCAGTGATGAGAGAAATTACTCTACTCAGTTCAGTGATGAGAGAAATTACTCTACTCAGTTCAGTGATGAGAGAAATTACTCTACTCAGTTCAGTGATGAGAGAAATTACTCTACTCAGTTCAGTGATGAGAGAAATTACTCTACTCAGTTCAGTGATGAGAGAAATTACTCTACTCAGTTCAGTGATGAGAGAAATTACTCTACTCAGTTCAGTGATGAGAGAAATTACTCTACTCAGTTCAGTGATGTCAGAAATTACTCTACTCAGTTCAGTGATGAGAGAAATTACTCTACTCAGTTCAGTGATGAGAGAAATTACTCTACTCAGTTCAGTGATGAGAGAAATTACCCTACAGTTCAGTGATGAGAGAAATTACCCTACTCAGTTCAGTGATGAGAGAAATTACCCTACTCAGTTCAGTGATGAGAGGAATTACTCTACTCAGTTCAGTGATGAGAGAAATTACCCTACTCAGTTCAGTGATGAGAGGAATTACTCTACTCAGTTCAGTGATGAGAGAAATTACCCTACTCAGTTCAGTGATGAGAGAAATTACCCTACTCAGTTCAGTGATGAGAGAAATTACCCTACTCAGTTCAGTGATGAGAGGAATTACTCTACTCAGTTCAGTGATGAGAGAAATTACCCTACTCAGTTCAGTGATGAGAGAAATTACCCTACTCAGTTCAGTGATGAGAGAAATTACCCTACTCAGTTCAGTGATGAGAGAAATTACCCTACTCAGTTCAGTGATGAGAGAAATTACCCTACTCAGTTCAGTGATGAGAGAAATTACTCTACTCAGTTCAGTGATGAGGAGAATTACTCCACTCAGTTCAGTGATGAGAGAAATTACTCTACTCAGTTCAGTGATGAGAGAAATTACCCTACTCAGTTCAGTGATGAGAGAAATTACTCTACTCAGTTCAGTGATGAGAGAAATTACTCTCACTCAGTTCACAGTTCAGTGATGAGAAATTACCCTACTCAGTTCAGTGATGAGAGGAATTACTCTACTCAGTTCAGTGATGAGAGAAATTACCCTACAGTTCAGTGATGAGAGAAATTACCCTACACAGTTCAGTGATGAGAGAAATTACCCTACTCAGTTCAGTGATGAGAGAAATTACTCTACTCAGTTCAGTGATGAGAGAAATTACTCTACTCAGTTCAGTGATGAGAGAAATTACTCTACTCAGTTCAGTGATGAGAGAAATTACCCGACTCAGTTCAGTGATGAGAGGAATTACTCTACTCAGTTCAGTGATGAGAGAAATTACCCTACTCAGTTCAGTGATGAGAGAAATTACCCTACTCAGTTCAGTGATGAGAGAAATTACTCTACTCAGTTCAGTGATGAGAGGAATTACCCTACTCAGTTCAGTGATGAGAGAAATTACCCTACTCAGTTCATTGATGAGAGAAATTACCCTGTTTGTTCCAGACCATGTTGATACGCTCGGCCTTGAAGAAGCTCTTGTTGGCCAGAGCAGCAGATGGACCTCCAAAGTTTGGGTACTGGTATACACGCACAAATGATGGCTGACCCTGCAGGGAAATCAATGTTTCAGTATATTCCAACACAATATCAGCCTTGCATCATTACTGTAGTCAACATAACCTGTCACTCATTCTTCAGAGAATGAAAACAACACACCATTTTGCCTGATTAAGGACACCATGTAAGATTCATTACAGGCTAACTAATACAGTGAAACACATTGCTGGATGACTTTTGTGGTTGTTCTTTACTGTGGGTTGTTCTCACCTTGGCTCCGGGAACATAGGCAGACAGTATGTAAGGGGCAGGACACGGTGCCAGCTCAAACTCCGATACTTTCTGTAAATGTAGCTTTGTCTTGATGTTTTCTGAAGAAAACATATACCGATATTAACAGTAATATTGAGCAAGGCTCCACAAACACAACCCCTGCATGTGTTTCAATGGCTGCTTTCCTTCACTGCAAAACAGTTGGCGCGGTCAATGTTTCCATCAAAATGTCTCATGCTAATCAAGCCTTACGATCTGTGTGAATCTGTGCCTAGCATTGTAATTGAATGAATTCAAAACGCACTTCAGTCGGCACTCAATACCATCCTAATACAGCCAAATGGCAAAGGGAGAACAGCAAGATTTTATTTATGAATACACAATGCCATTTAGGAAATGGGTCAAATGTAACATATGTCATATTTGGGATTGAGATTTCGTAGTAAAGTACAGATTCTAGTACGTTTTGGGGGTTGAGTCCCATCCGCAGAAGCCGCGTTGGTAGAGCGGGTTAGGCAGCCGACTTTGTGTGCTGGCGATTAGATGCCTGACTCTGAGGGTGTAGGTTCAAATCCTGGATGGGAGTCAAGCCAACAAAAGTACTACAATCTCTACTTTGCTAAGAAAGTGCAATCCCAAATATAACATATGTTACAAGATTTTATTTATTTTATATTTTCTCTTTGAGTTTGTGATATTTTTGTATATATTAGTACAGGAAACAATATTTTGTGTATCAACTCACCCAAAAAAGCATTATTTGATTATAATAAAAAACACTCACAAATGCATGTAGGTTCACTCATTTCTGTGCAACTAATATTATAGGCCATTCAAGAAGCTGTCCTACCTAAAAGGAATCTTAGCTATTTATGACTGCCATAACTGCTAAAAGTACTTTGAAACATTCCTAAACCAATCACAATTTTAACCTACACATGGCATAAATCTTGGGAACTAGACTTTTCAAATTCATTGATTATTTAGAGTGAGTGAGTGAGTATGGTTTTACGCCGTTTTTAGCAATATTCCAGCAATATCACGGCGGGGACACCAGAAATGGGCTTCACACAATGTGCCCATGTGGGGATGATTATTTAGAGTATTCCCTACATTGAAATGCATGCATTTATAAATTTTAATACATATTTCAAAAGGTTATCGATGAACTACTGAACAGTATTTGTTGATAAATGTTCATATGGTTTAAACATATTTATTTCATGAAAAAACAACAAATTTTCATAAACTGGATTGGTCAACAAGCTCAAAAGAATTTATATGAAGACCGCTCCAATATACATAGATGTATGAAACAGTATCATGAGAAGAAAAAATTGTAATGAAACCTGATGTTATGACATGTAGTAGACATGTTCATACTGTGAGGAATGCTGACAGTGATTCTTTCTTTCCAGAGGACTGTTCACCTTATTTTGTTGTTTTGTACAACTGATCAAAGATGGATATTGGTTTAAATAAAATTTTATTCCTAGAGAAACTGGTTTGGTAAACAAGCAGAACTCTGCTTATATCAATACCTCACCAGTACATATATCATTTAAACAAATACATAAGAACTGGATACAAAAAATGACAAATTAAATCATATATGTGCGTTGTAGGTGCTTATAAACCTTGAGCTTGCAGCTACACTTAGATGGATATTATTGAAAGGCTGTTGTCGAATAGACGAATGTAGCAAACTTTGAAGATTAAAATGTACATTTTGTAAAAGCAACATGATTCTGGAAAATGAAAATGTGACACAATCTACATGCCAATCTGAGCACCACTCCTTGATACCTGTGTCATTGAGTCTAAACAGTGCCATAATGTACTTTGTTCAGATCATCTGGAGCAGGCAGCAGACACCACTTCCATAGACAAGGTACATACCCTTCAGGCATGTTGAGTTAAATCTAACAACCATGACCACAATATATAGAAGTGATACAGTTAACACTGACAGTATTATACTAATGCACACAAAACTAACATTATTATATTTCAGATCAAGGAATAGAAGCGATGCTTTTCATACAAAAATATCACTGAAGTTTTCTGTTATTACTACTATTATATAAATGACAAAATACAGACAGTTTATGCTTATGCTTGTTTACGGGTTCCTTTCTTTGGAAATAAATATGTTTAAATCATACAGACAGTGCACAACAGATATCAACACTGTTCACAACAGATATCAACACTGTTCACAACAGATATCAACACTGTTCACAACAGATATCAACACTGTTCACAACAGATATCAACACTGTTCACAACAGATATAAACACTGTTCACAACAGATATAAACACTGTTCACTAATACTTCTATTCAAGTTTTACAAAATAAATAAAAGTATTTTCAGATCTTACTATTACCAAAGGTTCTATTGATCAGAATAAAAACAATAATAAAGTAAACCTTGAACACTATTATATGCATGTCTCCCAGCGTACGTGAGTCCCTTGGGATAATTTATAACAATGTTTCTGATTTCCAGATTTATACTGCTATTGAGCAGGATGAGTAAGACATCCTGATATACACCTCCACAGAATGTATGTGGTTCACTGTACAACAACTGGAACCCTTGTTCTCATTTCACAAACACACTACCACTATAATTTGTTTTATATCAAATACCAATATAAATTATCATTGAGTTTGCTACTAGCTGGGTTATTGTATCATTTGCAATTTAATTACTGTAACAGTGTGATGATCATGATACACAATACAACAACAGTAACAGAATTACAACAACATTACAACATAGTATTAATAATAATATTTAAGTGTGTGGGACCCCCATTTTGAAGTCCAGGACCCCTGAAAATTAAGTGTAAGTCCCAGGGTGAGTGAGTTTAGTTTTAAGCCGCGCACTCAGCAACATTCCAGCAACATCACGGGGGGACACCAGAAATGGGCTTCACACATTGTACCCATGTCGGGAATCGAACCCGGGTCTTCAGTGTGACGAGCGAACGCTGTAACCACTAGGCTACCCCACCGCCCCTGTGAGTCCCAGGGATCCTCAAATACAGGAGTGAAGGTATACCCCTGCATCAAGTGCTTTGTATGCAACACCAAGAAAATAGGCAAGTTTTATTCTTTTATTGTATGTAATAAAATATTTATTAATAGATTTAATGTTCTACAAACAGCATGTCATCAAGCTGGAGGCAATCATTAGGGTGCACACTCCATTAGATATCCTATTACATACATCATAAACTACTTTCATCAACTATATACAGTAACAGTCATGGTCATTGCAACAGCATGCACATATACAACCAGTCTGCTGAAGTAAATGAAAAATATTTTTGAATGTTTAGATCCTCTTTGGCAAATAGATGCTATTTTCACAAATTAGGCACATTTAAAACAATGAAAATTCACAAAACACCAAAATATTATCTGATATCTATAAACAATGTTGATGGTTCACATAATGAAACATGCATCAAACACATGTTTTCATACACCCCATGAAAAAGTAACTCTCCTGAACAATGTTCTCACTTGAGTCATCCCCCCACCCTAGTTTAAGAGATTAATGACTAAGTTTACAATGTGCCAGTGACAATGCCAGGGGCTAAGTTTACAATGTGCCAGTGACAATGCCTGGGGCTGGGTGAACAAAAGGGTGGAGTAATGAACTCCATTATGCTTCCTGATTAACAGGCCTGTGATGTGAGGCTGTGGGATCCTAATTAAAGGCCCTGTCATTGTGTGAGCCCCCCGCCCCAGCCCCAGGCCGGCCCAGCAGTCCAGACATACAGCCTGCCACTCCACAGTAGCTCTAGGCTGCTGTATAAACTTCATACCTCCTGGTCTCATTAATACCATTCAATTATAATGTCATGTATCCCTCTAATCTGGACTTCACCTGGCTGAACATGTTGTGTCCAATACATATATAAACCGATAATGGGAATGCAAATAATTCAAGGAAAATGTAGACTTGTTTGCTCCCCAGGACTCCCAAATAGTCATCTCCAGGTGAACCTGTGTTGTTGTAGGACGCAAGTCCCATCAAGACTATAGAGATGTGCTGGCCACACATTGTGCTACTGACCCTGTCAACCTGCTCCAATAAGGCTTGCCACACTAACAACTGGATTGCATGCTTTACACCACTAGTCTGCAGTTCTATTGTTTTTCCTGCATGTGTGTGGACCAACTTAATACCACTGTTGCTATTTGTCTCATGTCTTATGTAATAGATGAAGTTTACCCTCATTGTTTGTCTATGTTAGACCATCCAACAACATATCTACCAGATTAAACTGAAGGCTGTAGATATAAGACAATAGGCATATAACAGACAGACCTCTTCAATTGAGGTTAAGGATGAGATAAACACTATATTGTCCTAGAGATATTGTGCAGGGGTGTTACATAAGACCTGACCATCCACATCATAAACATCACCGACAAGGGTCATAAACCAGTGTCAGATATCCCTGTTCGTCAAACAGAAGAGATGGCTCGTCAAAACATAGCAGAGTTACTTCTTGTGGTAATGGAAAAGTCCTAATTATCCTCAGTAAAATTAATCAAGATCCAGTAAGTAATGACTTTTGTAGTTGATGGGTTATCAAGTTAATCAAGCTATCAACTCAGATCATTACATAGCAATTTACTTTTTGTGTAGATTTAACTAATGAACCATTTGATCAGGAAAAGTTATTTTATGTAAAATAACTAAAATGATAAGCTAAAAGCAAAATTATCTATAATGAACCAGGAAAAACATGCTTTCATGATTTAATTAATCTTCTTGATAGCGCGTTGAAATACAGAAGTGAAAAGTGTTTTGACAAAAACTGATTGGTTGTCTGATAAGGTGTCTGACAAATGGGGTATTGACTGGGAGTAGTAATACTTATAACAAGTATTGGACAGTGGGAGGCCTCATCTGTGGAATCTACGATTCTAATGTAGATAACATAGGGTGAGGGCAATAGGGTGAGACTTATAACTTATCAGGTTAAAGACATTCACAGCCTGCTATCAAACTGTATCTTAATCCATGATTTAGATTTAGCTATCCAGTGAGTGAGCTTATTTATAGCAGCACTAAAGCAATATTCCAGCTATATGGCAGTCACAGCTATCCAAACAAGTTGAGCAAAATGAAATTATTATAAAAAAACAACAAAGGATATTGAAGAAAACTGACCAAAATCATTGTTTTCAAAGAAGTGCAGTTCATTGTTGACATTGCGGCAACAGATCCCTTCATCCTGGCTCCACTGGGGCACCTGCAACAATCATAACTCACTCAGCAATAATAATCATGGGAACATCACGTGACACTGGGGACACCTGCAACAGTCATAACTCACTCAGCAATAATAATACGGGAACATCAAGTGACACTGGGGACACCTGCAACAATCATAACTCACTCAGCAATAATAATACGAGAACATCACGTGACACTGGGGACACCTGCAACAATCATAACTCACTCAGCAATAATATCATGGGAACATCACGTGACACTGGGGACACCTGCAACAATCATAACTCACTCAGCAATAATAATACGGGAACATCACGTGACACTGGGGACACCTGCAACAGTCATAACTCACTCAGCAATAATATCATGGGAACATCACGTGACACTGGGGACACCTGCAACAGTCATAACTCACTCAGCAATAATATCATGGGAACATCACGTGACACTGGGGACACCTGCAACAGTCATAACTCACTCAGCAATAATAATACGTAGAACATCACGGAACACTGGGGGCACCTGCAACAGTCATAACTCACTCAGCAATAATATCATGGGGAACATCACGACACTGGGGACACCTTCAACAGTCATAACTCACTCAGCAATAATATCATGGGAACATCAATGCAATAGGGACACCTGCAACAGTCACACTAATATCATGGGACACCTGCAACAGTCATAACTCACTCAGCAGCAATAATATCATGGGAACATCAAGTGACAATAGGGACACCTGCAACAGTCATAACTCACTCAGCAATAATATCATGGGAACATCACGTGACACTGGGGACACCTGCAACAATCATAACTCACTCAGCAATAATATCATGGGAACATCACGTGACACTGGGGACACCTGCAACAATCATAACTCACTCAGCAATAATAATACAGGAACATCACGTGACACTGGGGACACCTGCAACCGTCATAACTCACTCAGCAATAATAGCATGGGAACATCACGTGACACTGGGGACACCTGCAACAATCATAACTCACTCAGCAATAATATCATGGGAACATCACGCATTGACACTGGGGACACCTGCAACAATCATAACTCACTCAGCAATAATAATACGGGAACATCAATGCGTGACACTGGGGACACCTGCAACAGTCATAACTCACTCCAGCAATAATATCACGGGAACATCACGACACTGGGGACACCTGCAACAATCATAACTCACTCAGCAATAATATCATGGGAACATCACATGACACTGGGGACACCTGCAACAGTCATAACTCACTCAGCAATAACAGTCATAACTCACCAGCAATAATATCACGTAGAACATCACCTGACAATAGGGACACCTGCAACAGTCATAACTCACTCAGCAATAATATCATGGGAACATCAACAGTGACAATAATATCATGACACCTGCAACAATCATAACTCACTCAGCAATAATATCATGGGAACATCACGCGACACTGGGGACACCTGCAACAGTCATAACTCACTCAGCAATAATAATAATACGTGGGAACATCACGGAACACTGGGGACACCTGCAACAGTCATAACTCACTCAGCAATAATATCATGGGAACATCACGTGACAATAGGGACACCTGCAACAGTCATAACTCACTCAGCAATAATATCATGGGAACATCACGTGACAATAGGGACACCTGCGACAGTCATAACTCACTCAGCAATAATCATATGGGAACATCACGTGACACTGGGGACACCTGTGACAGTCATAACTCATTCAGCAACAACAAATGACAAAGTCATCAAATCCCCGGCAATGGCAAAATACTCTTCATGATTATGTCTACGAGTTATGATTATGTCAAATATTTAGATGTGTATATAGAAAAGTGGAAGGAGAGTATTGAAAGGTTTTTAAAGTTCTGCTCCAGAAAGGAGCACTATCACCAATTTCAGTCTAAGTCAAACTTGTTGCCATGGAAATGCCAAAAATATTTTATTCAGAAATCTAAACCTACCAAAAGGCACCAGTACACCACCAGATCTATGTATGTGCCAAGTTTGGTGAAGAAACATTGAACGGTTTTAGAGTTCTGCTCCGGAAAAGAGCACTACCACCAATTTCAGTTTTAGTCAAAATTGTTGCCATGGAAATGCCATAAATATATTATTCAGAATTCCAAAACTACCAAAAGGAACCAGTACACCACCAGATCTATGTATGTGCCAAGTTTGGTGAAGAAATATTGAACGGTTTTAGAGTTCTGCTCCGGTAAAGACAAATGTGCACGGATTGACGGACGCACGCTCTCACGCACGGAGTCCATTTTAATACCCCCCGCCAAAAGCGTTGCAGGGGATAATAACATGGGAACATCACGTGACACTGGGGACACCTGCAACAGTCATAACTCACTCAGCAATAATAACATGGGAACATCATGTCACACAAGGTGAAGCTACTAAAGTACTGTCGGAAATAGAAAAAAACTGTTTATAGGCTATTACGCTGTATCCCTAAATTTTTCACAATTGCAAATAGCATACGTCGAAATAACCCACATCGGCCTAACTGGGCGTTCAGTGGTATGCGTAATAGGATATCCAGAAAAGCATGTTTACTCGTAAAATCGGGCAAAACTTTGAAACAATACGAATAGCTGCTGAAAACAATAGATCAGACTATAGATGGCAATGAGATCGCTCAGCCAGGTATGACTACGGACCATCGACTCACCTGGCATGAAATGCACGTGCTGCCTACAGGCACAAGGGGTCATCTCAAAGATATTTGATACCTTTTCTTGTGTGTTGAATATGTCGCATCTAATGATTAACATTTTACGTGTATTTCTTTCATTAAGTTTATGTTCAGAGATGTAAAAGAGTATGATACCTGTAAAAGAGCATAATCAGTCATCGTATTAAATGTCTCAAAATATATAGGTGGCATGACCACCCGAAGATCGACAGGACTGGATATCATTTGTAAATTGTTATGGCATGCCGTTTACTTCCCCAGTTTAATTCCCCTGAAGGATCATCTTATCTTAGCTGATATCTCTATACCCCAGCCCGACCCCAAACCACTGTCTCCGTCCTTGTTTTGCTTTTGAGACGACCCCTCCTGCCTGTTTCTTTTTATAGTGATAGTGAGACTCCATGGTAGCTACATCCTTAATAGTTTCAGTATTAAAGTCATTATTTTTTACGTTAGCTATCGTTTATAATGAAGCTACGTCTAATTTCAAAATGGGTATTTAAAAAGTGTCCTTTGTAATACAATATCATCGCCCTCTAATTTGCATAAAGCCATGGTCTGTTCCAAATAAGTCAATTTGGACTTAGAAAAAACCGTATTGCTCATTTCTGCACTAATCTCTACTGAGTAAAGTCCAATTTTTACGTTTCCTTTCTCCCTACCACTGAGACTATAGTTAGGCCGAACCTAGTTTAACAGATATTTCACACTTTCACATATTATCTACATAAATTATTGATGTAAATGTGAAATAAGTTTTTTTCTATTTCAGACAGTACTATAGTATGTAGTGACTTGTAGGTGAATGTACTGGTATGTAGTGACTTGTAGGCGAAGGTACTGGTATGTAGTGACTTGTAGGTGAAGGTACTAGTATGTAGTGACTTGTAGGTGAAGGTACTGGTATGTAGTGACTTGTAGGTGAAGGTACTAGTATGTAGTGACTTGTAGGTGAAGGTACTGGTATGTAGTGACTTGTAGGTGAAGGTACTAGTATGTAGTGACTTGTAGGTGAAGGTACTGGTATGTAGTGACTTGTAGGTGAAGGTACTGGTATGTAGTGACTTGTAGGTGAAGGTACTAGTATGTAGTGACTTGTAGGTGAAGGTACTGGTATGTAGTGACTTGCCAGTTGGTCTGCTTCTTCTGGTTGAAATCCTTCACACACTCTCCTGTCTTGGTGTTGAACAGTATCAAGTTGGATGAACCCTGCTTCGTCTCTGGGTCCACTGAAACACATCACACCACATTCAACAGACATCACACCACATTCAGTGTGTGCACAACATTCAACAGACATCACACCACACTCAGTGTGTGCACACAACATTCAACAGACATCACACCACATTCAGTGTATGCAAACAACATTCAACAGACATCTCACCACATTCAGTGTGTGCACAACATTCAACAGACATCTCACCACACTCAGTGTGTGCACAACATTCAACAGACATCACAGACATCACACACTCAGTGTGTGCAAACAACATTCAACAGACATCACACCACATTCAGTGTGTGCAAACAACATTCAACAGACATCTCACCACACACAGTGTGTGCACAACATTCAACAGACATCTCACCACATTCAGTGTGTGCACAATATAACATCTGAACTCAGATATCACATGAAACTCAGGGTGTGCTAAATATTAAACAGACATTACAGTAGAATTGAAAATATGCTAGTGAATGCTGTTCTAAGACAACAGGTAGCTGTTTTTTAGCATAATAACAACCTTTCAAAATGGCAATCACCTGTGGACCTCAAGAGGGCTCCTCACATGCAAAAAGTCAGACACAACACAACATAACAGTAACAATCCACAATGAAATGCCAGTGTACAAACCTGAGTAGTGTTTCCAGGCAGCAACAATGTTGCCTTGGGGAGACAGCTGGAGTTGAACAACCTTTGATATCTCGATCTTCTGCACCAGCCTGTCACTTGACGTCTCAACAATGGAGATGCTGAAGACATCATATATTTGCAACATATGTCATAGTTGGAATTACACTTCCTCAGTAAAGCACTTTTGGGGGATGAGTCACATACAGAATTCACACCCACACTCTCAGTGCCAGGCACCTATTTGCCAGTACACAAAGTCCGCAATCTGACCCATTCAGCAACCAAGGCTTCCACAAAAATGGAAGTTGGACAACTGAAAGTCTAGATCACAAACTTTGTGTAGCCCCCTGACAATAGATATCTAGCTAGCATCTTTGAGCCAAAACTGTAAAAGGATTTCAACAACACACCTCAAATAGAGTGAATCATCTGGCAGTATATCTGTCATACCACAACAACATCAAGGTTCAACATATATATACAGGTTTATCATAAATACAAGTCATATCTAAATACAAACTGTCATACATATTTTACTTAATATTATTTATAACAGCTTAAAACACGGGATATAAGGAACTAGCAACCAAAGCTTGGGCCAGGTCACTGTGGATTATGGGGAATTGCATACCTACCTCAAATAGAACAGATCTCAATAACTGTCATTCTAACCTCAAGTCTACATAATAATAAACAATGATAATTGATAGTTTTATGACAGTAATTGACAACATTCGGTAACTCAGGACTGATGGTAACACACTGTATTGGAAACCTTAAGGTACTGCCCTACCTTTCTGCAGTACACCAAGCAAGCAGGGAGCCATCCAAACTGAAGGTCATTGCTCTACATGTGTTGGTCTGGTCTCTGAAAAACACAATATGTCAGTTGACAGCCCTCAGTTACGTACCTATAGCATGCACACCAACACTATCAAAGGGAACACAACAACCCTTTATTACATGGAATGTTTTAGCAGCGCGGTACAAGTCAACCACCAAGGTTTGTACACAGAAGAAAGCAGTATGAAATGTAGTGAGTGGCCGCAGAGCTGATATCCAGCATTAGGGAGGAAATCGTAGATATACGGATGGGAACATATATACTATAACACACAACCCCTTGCATACTGTCACCACTGCTAGTATGCTGTAATTGCTCACATACTGTACTAAGGGGTTTCATCTTCATGTAGGATCAGTGGCCCTTATGGTGTATAATTGGTACAAAACGATCTAATACCTGTGCCCTCATCAAAAATACATGGTACTAATGTTCGTCTAACCATGTTTATGTTGCACTGGTATCGATAAAAGGGAATGTGTTTCTATGTACATCATATCCCTTCAGTAAATCCATGTGTGAACAACATTTTTAACAAATGTGGAAAAACAAATTGAAATTTGAGATAAAACATCGCTAGACATAATGATTTTCCATTTAATTTATATCTCCTGTTATGCTGGCCGTGTGAGTGTGTGGAGATTAAGAACAATGTGTCTATTTTCTCACAAACTAAGCCAGAAATGGCAATCAGCAATCTTCTGCTGATTCAGTTAAAACATAACTGATTCAGTTAAAACATAATCCAATACAATAACAGTTGATATGTTTTATTGATTATTTTTCGCTGCTATGATCGGAAGAATTATATCCGCAACTATTAATTTATCAGTATTAATATGTTCTAATATTGGATTATTTTAGTTACAAAGTTTAATCAAAATATTTTAAATGGTTTAACAAGCCAGGGGCTTATCAAACACCTCTCCTGTACAACAAAGAGACAAGAAGACACAATTGTGGCGACATCATAAAATAATCAAGTGTGGTTGGCTAGTAGAGGTGACTATTGAGGGGGAAACAACTATTGCAACATACTATTGTGATTTCATGTGACTGTGCAAAATTTGGTTTGGTTGCAATTATTAGATTTGGTGTTAGTGAGCAATTCATCAGTCTCAAATGAAATCAAGCGGACTGTAGTCTGGCCTAATGGTGAGCTATCCCACTGAGATACTATGTCGCATTTTAATATGGATACCCCACTCAGGCCCAACATACAGTTGGTATAGCTGACCAGGCCTTGTTGTATCCTCATATTGACAGGCCCAACATACAGTCGGTATAGCTGACCAGGCCTTGTTGTATCCTCATATTGACAGGCCCAACATACAGTCGGTATAGCTGACCAGGCCTTGTTGTATCCTCATATTGACAGGCCCAACATACAGTCGGTATAGCTGACCAGGCCTTGGTGTATCCTCATATTGACAGGCCCAACATACAGTCGGTATAGCTGACCAGGCCTTGTTGTATCCTCATATTGACAGGCAGGATAACAACAAGTACAAATTATAACATCTTTCAGTGTAATACCGCATGAGGTCAAACCAGCTTCTGCTCTGCTGGTAAACACTGAATTCACAAGCTTCTGCTCTGCTGGTATAGTCCACTGTTCATTGTGCATACTCACACATTACTTTTTATACAGTACAACAGAAAACAGTTCTAGGAGTCCATCAGAGCTCCTTATACACTCACCCATGGAAAGTTGGAGCAGAGCCCAGGTTTGGTGGCCCATATGTCATCCATATTCCTTCAGACCCTCGTACTACAATTGAAAAACAAGAAGCCTAATCATTGTATTCCTAATTCCAAAACAAATATTCTGATATGCCTGTTTCCAAAAAGTGTTAGAATTCATTTTAATTTAATATGTAGTCATATGTGTCAAGAAAAAGCATTTTACAAAGTTTTGACAGACAAAGTTCTTGTGAACGCATCCCAACATTTTGAATTAAGATACGTAAAAGGCCAGTCTTGGACATATTTACACTTATTGCTGTGAAAATTATATCATTGAAATATTGTTTTTCACTTGCAGGTACAAAATTGTGTACCTGTGTGTACATAGTGTTTATTATTTACTATGTAAACTGTCAATACACAAAAGCCACTAGTCCACTATGGCTTCGTGGATCTCTGCCACTGGATGAACTGAATCACAAATCGATTCTGAATTAAGCAGTTACCACCAGATCAACCGGTATCTGTTGTTTCTGCAACCTGTACTGGCAGTGTCAGGTCGAGTATCTTTTGAACATGCAAAGGAAGTATGTTAGAAAATGTTGCGAGTCATTGACACTGTTGTGTCAGGAATAATTATTGGTATAAATGTCCAGTTTAAGTTGTCAACATCTTTTTCATTTCAAGGGTTATATCGACTTAAGGTACCACTTTCACAGGAAAGAAATCATGATATATTTTTTTAGCACCCCTAAAATTAATTGTAATTTATTTCAAACTGTCTATTCCCTTTGCTGATCCTTGTAGAATACTTCTGCTATGAAAACATATTTTGCAGCCCAACGTAGACTCACGTGTTAAGGGCGCTGCCATCTTGAATGGTGAATTCTCGCGTTATCACGTTACACGTCACATCAGTCTCATCGCAATGCTATGAATACATATATATGCGCTTTCGGAATATAGTGCGAATATGAATCGCGTTGAATAAATTTACAGTAAAATATCAAATTATGTACGTCACTGAATTGACAAATGCGAATATATACCGAATTTATCCTATGTGGATATATATTGTTATATATTTTTGTTTAGGCTATGTTTTCATTCTAGGATCACATTCAAAATATTACTACGCTGAACGGCCTCTTTTGCATAAAGTCGGGGACGTAAACGACGTGGAAAGGGTTGTCGTCTTCAGTTGCAGTTTTTGGAATTACAGGGTGCAATCGGCTCTTCTAAATTATAAACAATAATGGCTGGTAAACAGAGAATGCGGCTTGCCAACGAGAAGCACAGCAAAAACGTCTTAACAAGAGGAAATGTGCCTAAATCTTTGGTATGAATTTGTCTACGTGTCAACCGTTCGGCGAAGTCGCTTTTCAGGTGTTGTTTTGATGTCAGTGTCAGCTGCGTTGTTTCTTAATCATCAGTACATGTATATTTTCTTATGAATTTCAGAAGCCCACAGAAGAAAAATACCCAGTTGGACCTTGGTTATTGGGACTGTTTATTTTTGTCGTCTGCGGATCAGGTATGTTTGAACATCTGTTTATTAAAAAAGAAGATAAGCATGAGTTCTCGAAACATATGTTCCATTTCAGACAACACTAATTGTTTTTCTGTGCGTCATTTAATGGGATTTGTCTTTTAAGATGTCAGAATTGAAGCAGATGTATTTGAACGTTCTTCTAATATTTCTGTCTTTGAATATTGGATAGATCTAATCACGCAAGTCTTTCAGATTATTCTGTCTATTAGTTTTCGATGAACAGATTATGTATATGGAACTACCATGTACGAACATATGGTATGTTAACACGCTTTTTGAGAAAACTCTTTAACAGTTTTTGTCATACAATACAGAGTGGGTCTGTTTGTGGCCAATGTAAGAGATGTCTTTTGATTCCTACAGTTGTTGCAAACATTCAGATTGTCTTAAAGAAAAGCTAATCGAGTAAATGCATATGTAAATGAAAACAAGAGCCTGCACATTGTATAAAATATCGAAGTTTTATGAAAGTATTTTGTCAGAAGTGCTATCCCATGGATCCTGTTTAAATGATAGTCTGTACTTTAGAGGTTAGTCTTGTATTGAGTTTTTTAATCATATGTTCAGTTATCAAATATTGTACAGTGCCAGCATAGCATTTCCCTTGTTACGATATTTCTCCCATTCTTGCAATAAATGGTGAGAGAAAAAACATGATTACCAAAATAACATTTGAGGACAGGCACATTCTGTTTGACATATCACCATGTACATAATCAATATTCTCTATGTAGAAACTGTGTTGTATGTTATTTATCTTCTGATATGAAAGATATCCACATATTTTAAAATAAATGTGGTGTTTCTGTTTCAGCTGTTTTCCAGATCATCCAGAGCATCAGGATGACATAGCTCAATGATGAATGAACTAACTTGATAACGACTGGTGTTATGGGAACAAGACAGCGATTTTGACATGTGACGGCAACGTGAACGCAAAAACTGCTACCTGAGATGCAATCTTTACCTTTGGATCCACAAATGATGTGAATTTTGACCTGAACTGCCATTCAGACAGCATATTTGGTCTCCTTAGTCAGTGCCATCAGTCTGTTAACTTTCATTATTTGTGGGTTATTTGGTGACGATCTTTCCAAATCTTCATGCTTTAGCATGAATGTTATGTATATTTTATTTACAAAACTGTATTAAATGTCCAAATATTTAAATCCAACTCTTTTTGTGGTATGTTTGTGACAGTTTGTCAATCTGGTTGTCATTGATGTGATCATACAGCTGATACAAATTGCTTGTTCTTTGATAGCTACAAAAAGCATATCTCTATAGACAGCTTTTACTGCATGACTATAGGCTGCATCCCAGTGTTTTCTTGATCAATTTCTGATTTGGAAAATATGTCTTTACATCGCCGCCACAATTAACATCGATTATAATCACACACAAGCTGCCACCTGATTTGCTTGTTGAAATATTTGGCTTAAAATGTGTTTTCGATCATGCAACTGTGTTTATAGTTACCAGGTTGGAATAGAGAGAGGGTACAGATTTATGCCTTCCATTTCTGAGCAGAGGCATACAAAAGGTCTTTAATGGTCCAGTATAATTTTTGCACAATCCAAAATATGAATACTCTGTACTTGAAAGCTTGTTGATATATGCATGTCGCTAAAGGGTATTCAGCAGATTTGAAAACATTTTGAACAGTCCCATACTTCCTTTGCAAGACAAAATCAACCTCATTTATAATTATCTTGTGAGGTGAAATTGGCTTTTACGTCGTACTTGAGAATATTCGCTCATATGACGACGTGCATATGTGTGTATGTGCAGCTGCTTGTACTAGCCCAGACTTAAGCTGGTTTTATAGTGCTAGCCCACTGAGATACCATGCTGCCGTGAAGCATTAATACCACACTCAGACACATTATACTGACTCAGAGCCAACCAGTCCTTGTTGTACCCATTAATGCGAGAGCCAGGCAGGGACCAACAAGTACCATATTTAACGTCTTTTGGTATGACGGGGATCGAACCCACGACCTTCCGCTCTCCGGCGTACCACTACACCACGGAGGCGGTCAATTATCTTCAGAAGCCATACCTTCTTGCTGGTAACTATTGGAAGGCATAAGGGATGTTTGTTATTCAGTGTTGGCATTGTTAACAATAACAGTTGATAAAATAGCTCAACCTTTTCCACACTTGCTGTACTTATCATGGAATCTACAGTTCCATCTTTGGTATCAATGTCCGTGGAATGGATGGAGACTTGCCTGTCTCCTGCTGACCAAGACCACAGTGCACAAGGTCTGTATATCAGTAGCATATATGCTGAACATTGCCAAGTTCCGATTCACTAAAAGCCTTGCATTTCATGTCTGGCTTTTTCCCTAAATTTGTTTGTTTAATCTGCTTGCTACTTTAAGCAGCTACCTGTAAAACAAAAACATCTGGACCAGTGATTGATACCATGAGCTAAGTTAGCTGAAATAATACAGCAGGATGAACTCTGTCCTATTTCAAACAGAAAGTGCTTGGCTGATCCAGTAAATGAGAAACCTTGTAATAAACCCACCATAAAATGCCTATCAGGGTATTGTGGAGGGCTATTGTCAGTGGTTCACAGCACAAGACTTTCACATATGCCCATGAATTCTGAGAAACAGGCATCTTCGACATTGTTTGGAATTAAGCGAAAATATTTGAAAAATGCTCCAAAAATCAAAATCCTATTCAACAAATAAACCTTATTGTAAATGTGAATACTGCATTCAGTTGTAGAAATTACAACAAAACAATGATTTGTTTATATCCCATTTAATGGGTGTATATCTACACATGAATTGATTCTGTTGGCGACAATAAATACAATGTGTATGGCATCATGTCACATGACATCAATAAGACAATTACACATTCATTCAATAAATTATGACAGTGTTAAATGCAGCACTCAATGACTATACAATATATACAAGGTGGTGAACACCGTACTAGCAGCTGATAACATCCTACTGATTCATGCAATGTGTAACTCCTAGTGTCAACATGGTTACAGGAATAGTTACTGCTTAGTACATACAGTGTCCATGGCAACTAGGTGATCAAAAGCAAACAAGTTTTTGCAGATCTTTCAGAGTTACTTTAGGAAAGGCTAAGTACTTATTATTAAAACTTCTGTACTTCATGAAAACAAATATCTTGAATGGTCAGTTAACCATGAAACAGGTGCTTGTGTACATACTCAACAATGAGTTTGACATAAAATAACTTCTGTTGGAGGCTGTATATGGCACTGGTGGTGCTGTTATACTTAGACCTTGTGCAGCATTGAAAACTCAAATTGCACAGCAACAGATGGCTACTGAAGAGTAACTCGCACTACCAGGGAATGAAGTCATTTGCTGTGAGCATATTGACCACTCCCTTTGTGTGAACCACATGCTGCCAGCCTCTAGTCCCACATGTCCACCCACATCACATCTACGTATATACTACCTGATGTGATAAGCCATAGTTCCAGAGCTTTCTGTGATCAAATTGAGCTAACTTCCATGCAAAAAGCAAAAAATACCTCACACAATCAATTTTTTACAAGTGAATTTTTTGTTAACCAAAAAAAAAGAATTATTTATCATTTCAACATATTACGACTTAATTTTCATGCTAAACTCTGCATTTAGCATGGAATGCTGCTTATGAACTTTCACAAATAGGTATGAAATAGATGATGTGTTTTATATGTTTGACCCACTGAAAAGCGGGATCACCCACAAACTGCGTAGTAAGGGGTTGTGTCAAGGGATCAAAACAAGCATGAAGTCAACTTGCTATGGACACATGACTCAATCCCCGTGTCATGTGAAAGTTTCTAAGTGAGCAGCTGCTGTGGCCACAACTGTGCCAACAAAACACCCACTTTAATCGTTACAACTGGCTTATCAGTTTACAGTTGGCAAAATGCTCATAACAAACAACAGAACACTGACAAATATTTTGTGAAAGCAAACTCAAAGCCATTATTCCGAATTTGAAGTGAGGATTCTGCTAAGTAATGGGAGCAGTCCATATCTGAACATATTTTGAAGTAACATATTTAAGAAACAATACTTGGTTACTACAAATATGTCGTTTACAACTATAAGTTATAAATGCTTTCAAATATTAGTAACCATTAAGAAACACTTAGGCTAAAAGAGGAGTTCATTGCCTTGTGACTACCAACTGTAATAAAGGTGGGAGCAGGAACTACAAGGAAGACAACACAACACAAAACATGCACCACATCACACTCTCCCTGAGATAGGACTGATTTGTGGTCTTCATGATGATACTCCTCACTTTCAGAGGGAAAGGGGAGTCAGCACTACAGCTAACACTGGCTTCTGGGGCACAACCTCATACCGTCCTGGTGGGTCAGGATCCTGGTGGATAAAGCAGTATGTGACGCGGGGTGTGTGTGTGTGTGTGTGTGTGTGTGTGTGTGTGTGTGTGTGTGTGTGAGCCCTGCAGCTAACACTGGCTACTGGGGCATAACCTCAGAGCATCCTGTGGGTCAGGACCTTGGTGGATATAGCAGTCTGTGTCCTTCCATATGGAAATTGTAACATGGCAGAACGCATCATGCTTCAAAAGAATAATTAGGTTGCCTGGGTGATTGTTGTCTGGCAGAAGATGTCAGAATGGTTCTGCTCTGAATATTAACTGAAAACATCAACAAACAACAACTATCAATATTTGTATAACAAGGCTAAGAGCTTAGTAGACAGCATGCATGGGCCATGATTCCGTGCTTGCATAATTTACTCCATGCACACCACTGGAACAGTAACTCAAAGTAGATATATGCACCATGCCTACAGCACAGTGTCTCATTTTTACTGAACAATACTCTGTGTTGAAGGAAGAAAACCATACGCTGACCACCATTCTGGAAATCCAGTCAGGTGCAAGATACATAACAGATATTCTCATAGTACAAGATACCGCTTCAAACGATATTAGTGCCCTATAGCAAAATGAAAAGCATAGCTTCTTTGATTGGTGACAGTACCACAAAAGCATCATGGGACTAAAGAACAAGAATCAGTAATAAAAACAATGAGGTTGCTTCATTCGTTCTGACAATTTGGTGTGTACCTACATCCACTCAGTGACACCTGAGGTACACCTAAGCCAATGTGCTTCACATAAAATCATCACCAAACAAAAGACTGACTGACTGAGTTCGGTTTTACACCGCTTTTAGCAATATTCCAGCAACATCACGGCGGGGGACACCAGAAATGGGCTTCACACATTGTACCCATGTGGGGATTCGAACCCGGGTCTTCGGCGTGACGAGCCAACGCTTTAACCATTAGGCTACCCCACCACCCCACCAAACAAAAGAGCTACGACCCTCTAGCTAACAATAATGAGAAACAGAACAAATAAATTGTCACCTAACACCCATGAATAACAACAAACCAAATGTCTTGTTCCAGTGATCTGTTTGTCGCGAGTTATGTCCCTTGACATTATCACACCACTATAGCTGCTAAATACTGGCTGATTGTGGCATATTCACACCTTATCCCTGTCAAACCAGCATGTATCATACACGTTTCAGGTCATTGCTGTCTGGAGACAACACTGTCACTTTACTGCTTCATGACAGGAGTTTGCAGCACCTCTGTAGGGGACGGATTTCTTGATTGCTTTGACTCTTTGTGTCATTCACACAAAATAACATGGAAAGATCAAATGATTTCATTCACTGTATCTACAGTATCTACACATACTTCATAGAGTAAACTGCCTGTACACTGTGTTTCAGCAGGACTAAGATATAAACAGGAAACAGTCATGGTCTGCCCATGGTCTAGCTATTTGTAGATGCTACATTTGTTAAAGCTTTCCAAAACCTTGTTGAACATGCAAATATAAAGCTTGAATGTCTCTGTGTGTATCATGTGTACCTTTACAAGGTGCCATAATGAACATCCCCCTTCTATATGCAGGGAAAATATGCCTTGATTATCACATGCGTGAATACAAACTCTGATATATAAACTGTTGATTCTCTGAAACTGAAAATGCATGTTAGACCAGAAGTATGCCCATTATGATAGAAACATTGTGACTCAGACTGGACTAGGATCAGCGATGAATTCCCCCTTTGATTGTGCTGTACACACAGCTCTGACTGCATGTATGCCATAAACAAGAGTCATCTCCCTTTGATTGTCAATATCCAAGGTTTTTTGTACTAAAATCATAAATATCATCTGCTGGGTTCTGTCGTACAACTGGCGAGGATTTACGCTGTGGTACATCAGCCAGACGAATTATTTCCTCTCCTAGACTGTCGTCATCATCAGGTTCAAAGTCATCCTCATAATGTCTGAAATGAACACAGGAAAGGGTAAGTACTTGTGACTATAAAATGTATGAAAGTATATATGGCACATCATAAACGTTGACAATATAATCTAACAGGACATGTCTCTACCTACACAGATAGTATACATTAAGTTATGCTGTGTGGATAGTTGGAATTACAAAAACAAACATCAGTGTACACAAAAGTTGTACTGAGATGTGCATATGAAGGACTTCATGATTCCATACTTGGTGCTAGGCTCCATATAAGATAAAAGTACATAACATGCCATTACTTTTCTGTCTACCTGTATTGTCTTACAAAGACCTGTTAGAGAGCTTGCTGTCAAACAGGGAGAAAGCCATTGAAGAATTCAAAGATCATGTTCCCCTTGCCTGAACCAACATTGTATTTGACAGGGGATTGGAGATACATTAATAAAGGAATGCCTGAAATATCTCCTTCCACTGCCAGTTTCCAGCACCAGGAATCTTACAGCAACAACGCTACAGACCACCATGATATAGACAATGTTGGTCTCTGACCAGTGAAGCTGGAGATGTGTATGCAGGGATCTGCTATATTGGAAATTCTACAAAGTTAAAGTAGTGAAGGAAACAAAAAACCTCTAAATATACAAAGACAAATTCAGGATACACACATAAAACAGAGTGAGTGAGTGGGTTCATGCTGCAGTCAGCAGTGTTACAACTACACATCATCGGGCTTGTACATCTTGATCATGTCTGGGTGAACAACCAGTGCTTGGAGGTAGGAGTAAAGATCCAGGTCAAAGGCTAAAGTGGACACAGCAGCAGTCACATGACATGAGTATCTGGCTTGGGCCTGTTATTTTTTTTTAACTTAAATGTGAAAATGTGATCCTAATTTGTTTCACTGGACTATGTACAGTTGTGAGAAAGGATGTAGAAAACCTATCACTGGGTGTGCATATATGTGAAGAATGTATGTGCACAGGTAATTTCACAAGATAACCTACCTGCGCTGAAAATCCCTATACCAGCTGCATGAGGGAAATGTGATGTAACAAGTGGGATATAACAGGCACCATATATTTGTTACTACTCCCTATATGTGATTTGTGAGATACGTATATCGAGTACATGCATGATGACCCATGGTGAATACCATGCAACACACAACAGTGGATCTCTACAAGATTCTGTACGATAACTGTGATCTCAACCTGACTTGGTGTTGAGGGAAGATGTGACACAAAACATGACTCACTACAATCTTACAATTTGTGATCATAATGGTCACGCTAAGCTTTTCACTTCATATACACATTTCTATCATAAATTAGTGGAATGTTTACACAATCATATCGTTCACATTTCGGGCTGCAGGACACAAATTCAGTTGTCAACATTGTACTTATGTAGGCAACAGAGTTCTTTGACATTGCTGGCATATTTTTAATCTAAACTGCTCCATAACCAACTGTTTAACCAAACATCACAAAGAACATAGTACGTACATTTCTTCTTGTTCATTGGCCCCTTCCTCTGCTACAAGAATCTCATATTCCTCAGCAGCGTACTTCTCCCAATCTGACGGTTCTGGCCCATCAGTCTCAGGGTCCTACAACAGATGAAGTCTCAATACTCAGGATACGTTCACTTACATTAGACACATATCTTTCCCCGTCTTCAACATTATCTCATTTACCTCATTTAGTGTTAACACTGCACCCATTAAGATTCCAGGTACAGGACAAGGGCACATAAATAATCAAGTCTGGACCAGATCAACTATTGGAAAGACATGTATTTCTGGCCTACCAAAGAAAACTTTCCCACTGTGCAGAAAAACACAGAAAAGTCCACATTGATCATGGAAATAGCAACATAAACATATTACCTCGCTACTGAAACAGTAAAAACGGCAACGAAAGACTATGAAACTGCAACATTTTTATATCAGTGAACTTTGACCACTACTGCACACGTACATTACAATCTGACCTGGAAAACTATTTCTGAGCAACCGTGAATTGCATCGCGTATAAAAAGTATTGAATATGTCAAAATAATTTCTGTCAATCATTTCATATGAATGGAAAGTAAACTAAACAAGTGTGCACACAATCATGATGACAAATGCCAAATAACACAACAAAAAAACTTTAAAAAGGGAATTAATTTTTGTCCAAGCTGGAAAATGTCAACATGCAGTCGTGACTTCCTCTTCCATGTGTGCATGCGCAAAATCGATGTTGCAGGCTATTCAGGTTTTTTATCCAGTTTTAGCGATTTAAAGTTGCCAATTTTACTGTTTCAGTAGCGAGGTATTACTAGTATGTTTATGTTGCTATTTCCACGATTAATGTGGACTTTTCTTCACAGTGGCAAAGTTTTATTTGGTAGGCCTGTATTTAGGACCAGCAAGAGACTACGGCAAGTACGTTCTCCACCTATAGAGCCCTCCCCTCGATTGGCCAGCTGCTGCAGAACTGGTATATATGCCTACTCAGTCAGTCACTTACATGTATTAACACTGCCCAAACCAAGAGACACAACTACAGCAAACCATGGGAGCACTTTGCTCTTCACTGTATGATATATCGCCAAGGCTGCCTGGGATAACCTGTGTGCAACTTACCCTCACATTAGCAAACGGGTCTCTTTGTTCATGTTCCAGGAACTTGTCAAGGTTGAAGAATGTGTCAAAGAAAATGTTTGTCATCTTACATGACTTGAGGTCACTCAGGGTTATCTGTTCTTTGTGTTTTGGTCGAACAAGATCCAGCATCTGTTGGGTACAAGAAACAGTGTTCTCACATACAAACTTTAGTAAGCATAGAAAACAAATTGCTGATAAGCAACACACATGAGCTATAGAGCTTCATCAGAGCACTGCATGCACTTCCAGTATGATGGTTAACTCTCCATTCTTACATGTCACGTCGTGAACCTGAAGATGTAAGATTACAAGTAATAAACAATGCCACTCTCCAGATTGATGGCTAATGGTTATAGGTGTTAGTATGTGAATATTGGTAATCTCTTGGCAACCTCTTTCCTAGTCTGTGGTTAAAACACCAGTGTACACTCAGGTGGTAATTACTGTAGTGATATCATGTAAGCTCACCTGTAATACATCCCATTTGTGAACACTTTGAATCAGATATCACAAAGCATATGATAAATGTACAAATAGTGAAATTCATGCAAGGAATGAGGTCTGTTTAGATGGGGATCAACTGAATTATTTCTTTAATTTACAAATTCAAACTGTTGAATATGTCAAACATAGCCTCCTCTGTTAATGGCTGAGCAAACTGTCAAATTGACATGAACAGCTTGTTTTCTCCCTTGCTACAGTGTGCTTTCCAGTTAGTATCACAAGCACCCAGACACATAAGTCCATACCTGACACAGACAGTCTTCAAATGGTAATTTCTCAATTCCTATTGCCTCCATCTTCTGCATCTGTTCCTCATAGAAGTACTCCATCTCGTACATGGAGATAACTCCGTCCCCGTCCAGGTCCATGCAGCGGAACCAGTACTCCACACTGCAACAAAAGCAGATCATGAAGCCTGCTGTTCATCACTGTTTACCAGTTGTGTTTCGATTAATTGAAATAATCGAAGATTTTCACATTGACCAAACAACCAAGGAATTGATCACATTTTCTCATAATCAAACAGAAACGATTTTGGAACTACTGTTTTAATGTTTGAGACACTTGACGATGGAACATATCTAAAATGTCAGGGCCTGACAAAGTGTTTAATTCTTAGAAAACTCACTTCACTTATTGAAAAGTCATGACTGAATATTTCTTGAATGTTCTTTATGTTCAAGATATATTAGTCATCACTTTAAAGTAGCAAGTTGCATCATTTTCCATTGGATGTGAAATTAGCAAATGCAACCTGCACAGTTTCTAAATACAACAAAAAACAACAGAAAACCACATTATACTTATCAGCAATAACAACCGGAATAGGAATATCTGAAAAATGACACTAACCAATTTTTTTGATGATTGGGATTTCAACTAATTCCCAACACTACATTCTATTACCTGACACAGAATGTCATCCCCACTACAGTCTGTTGGACTAGAAAGTGTCCCCATGAATTGCGAACTATATCAGTTTAGAAAGGTAATTAATAAATATTATGAGGCAAGATGTTTATGAATAACCTATATCCAAACACCTTTTCAGCTATTAGAAATTGTCCTGCATCACAGAAAAAAGTTGTTTATCAAACTATCATCATTATAAACATGATTGTTGACAGTTGGCGTGGAGGAGCACACGGCAGCAACACGAATAGACAGGTGCGGAAGGAAGTGTCTCAAAATCTATTCTGAATGATCTGTGACTTCGTCATCAGTGGCATCACAGTCAGAGCTGATGGAAATAACAAGCGGTGCGACAGTTGCCTGTTGGAGACCATCACAAGACCAGTCACCTGCTTCAATGTCATTGACAACCATAAGTACAGAGTGTTGCCACATGTCAACAGTGACTTTACCCAATGAGTGTTTCACCAAGGCCTCAATGTCACGTAATTTAAACGTGGTATTTCATCTTACAACGTCACCTTTTAGAATACACTACATCATCTCGATTGGATTGAGGTCACAATGATATGGTGGTAGCCGCAATATTTCTTGACATTTACTCTTAATGTAAGTGTCTACTTTGTATACGGGATCTTGTTTCTAATTTCGTACAGCTGAGGCTTCATCGACGGATGCGGGATGCTGAATTTTATAAGCCAAGCAATCATATCGCCCTTACGATTGTTAGATGTCAGAGTTTTGCTGTTTGGATGATACAGGCCGTGGTATGGCGCATTGGTCCATGACTATAAGGGACTTATTTGGCAAAGCTGGAACTAATTTATTTTGAACCCACTTGAAGAAAACATCTCCATTCATCTCTGTATGGTAGTCCCTATTGTCTTTGGCCTTGGCTCTGAACACCAGATCACAACCAGGTAGGAAGCCCTGGCTGGCACATCCAGCATGGAGAAAAATCAATGTTTCCCCCTTCCCCAGCGGCTGTTTCCTCTGTGATCCCTTATTCCTATTAGGTACCCATTGAGAGCTGGCAGTATGAGACACATTTACTCAAGTCTCGTCAAGATACACCAGCTCATACCCCGCATCACGTTTTTTCTGGATAGTCCTGAGAAAATGATTTCTCAAACTCAAGATATCTGATCGTTCGCACAATACTCTCCTGTTCTTTCCTGTTATTTTTTGTACCTATACCCGAAAGAACGTAAGATTCTCCATAGTGTGTATTTCGTTACTGACAAATTGTTTTGGTTGTCAAGGTGTTTCTGTAATACTCTTAATGACATGTATTCGTTTTCTGAGTACAGTTTAGTGATGGCCTGTCTGACCTGGTTCTTCTGGAAGTTGTCTAATATATTAACCTTTGATGCTTTTGACTTCCCCTACATGTGTTATGTCGACAACACTGTCTCTCTTCTGTATTGTATTTCAATGCCTGTGTAGAAACTCCCAATGACTTGGAAGCACTTTTCTTATACCTATCGATGGCATAAAACGGTCTCCCCATATCCGCCTCAGCGCGAAAGAAATCATACACTTTAATTGTCAACTTTTTTGTCTGTACAGTGAACATCATTTCATCATCAGCACACAGCAGTTATCATGAAATGCCCGTGCATCAGATGCACCTGTCTATTCCCGTTGCTGCCGTGCACCCCTCCACGCCAACTGTCAACAATCATGTTTATAATGATGATAGTTTGTTAAACAACTTTTTCTGTGATGCAGGACAATTTCTAATAGCTGAAAAGGTGTTTGGGTATAGGTTATTCATGAACATCTTGCCTCGTAATATTTATTAACTACCTTTCTAAACTGATATAGTTCGCAATTCATGGGGACACTTTCTAGTCCAACAGACTGTAGTAAGCATGGATGGGAGAACCAACCAATCAAAGTTATATTAGAGGGGAGGTGAATTGGGGGTAACTGTAACATGTTCCATCAAGAAATGGATCTACCTGCAGGAAACAGATGCTTACCTGGTTGGGTGTCTCTTGTCCTCCTCCGCAATCAGAAACCACACAAACTCTGGATAACTCATTCGACCGACTTTGAAGTTCTCACCCCTGTAACATACATGGTTCTCCATCAACAATGAGTCACTCCTGACTTCCAGATGGAGTTTCACATCAATAGGTCTGTTTATGCAACAATTACAGCATTTCCTCAAGCAGCACCAAAGGAAAAGAAGGATTTTATCCGCTTGCAAAACTGAGTTTAGTTTTATGCCGTTTTTAGCAATATGCCAGCAATATCATGGTGGGGGACACCAAAAATGGGCCTCACACATTGTACCCATGTGGGGACTCGAACCTGGGTCTTTGTCGTGACGAGCCAACGCTTTAACCACTAGGCTACCCCCACTGCCCCTACTTACACAAGAATTTGCAAGCTGCAGTATGTGTGAAAACATGCCTTGAATAAGAATGCAATGACCTGCCTTGTTCAGGGAGTTGTCTTGTAGTCTGTATCACTCACCTTGTCACTGCCCCTGAGAATATCCTGTCTATCACCCGAGACGATAACGCTGTGGAAGGAAGGTAGGTTCAGTGTTACACCATGGACATCATCGGTCAAGTTACAGACAGATGGAAAACATACAATGTAACATGCAATATACGCTTGTACGAAATCTTGGTTAACTAAGGATAATTCACACACACGTGTTGATGTTGAGTCTTAAAGTCCTATGGTGCTACATTACAACTGAATCAGACAGAAAGACAATCTGTTGTCCTATGACCTGTATGAAACATATGATCACTGTGGTCCACCATCACTTTATGGTGTCAGGCTCTGATTCATACTGCTTGATATGAATGATTCCATACAGGCGATGTTTATATTGTGCTCCCTTTAGGTCCTCTGTATGTGTACATTATTTTCTTATTGTATATTGTATATATTTACATATGCTGTGTTGCGCATCGAGCATGTCCCTCAGTGACTTACACCTGTGCACTATAGAAATAGTCGGAGCACCTTTAGAATACAGCTAAGTGACTGAGCTACGTCCACACTGTTGCACAATGTTCAAATTTATCAAGTCATTCCTGTGACGTCACGGAAATCACCGGAAACCTACGAAGTCTACAGTGTCACGTGACTTCATACCACGGACATTGTCGAAGTTGTTCGGAAATGACGGGTAACCTTGGAAACTCAGGACATCATTCTTTTTTTGCTGGCGCAAGTTCGCGGGCCCAGGAAATCTAAGCGTCATTTCGCTCCTGACATTGAAAGGGCAAACACCGTAATTCACGATGGGATGATCCTTGGAGGATTTGTTCGAGGATTTTGTGATGGAAAAGAAAGTGTGGCGCATGGGAGAAAGGAAGGAGAATGTGGTTCATGGGAGTAAGGATAAGAGGGCCAGGAATAAGGATGTGGTAGACACTGGGAAGGCGGATGGCAGTTTTCCTTCATTTCCAAGTTGTACTGATGCTCCTTGGGTAAGTTCATATGGGAGAGATTTGGGGAGGGCTTCTAGGGTCATAACTTATGATTGGTTGCTCTTTCATGTATTTGTGACGATTCGTGCTACTTTGGCTTGGTGCATGAACCGCTGGTTACTCTGTAACCATGTCACCCGTGATGTATGCAAGAGGTCAATGTATATTGCAGAGGAAACTGGGATTCATCGGAGTAGTGACGGCATTCGTTAGGCTTGTCGTAGAACGATTGATGGAGTTAGACATCAGTGTTACAAATCAATCCAAACTAAAAGCTGGTTCTCTGACGCTCGCATCAATATGGCTGAATGTTTGAAATTGATTTTTATTGGTGTCGGAACCGCTCTCAGCTTGATTGTCAGACTGAGTACGGTTTTTCTTCAGCAACGACTACTGACTGGTACAACTTTTGTCATGAGGTGTGTGATAAGTCGGTTTATGGGAGAATGGAAAAGATAGGTGGGTCAGGTATTATTTTTGAGATTGATGAATCAAAGTTTGGCAAACGAAAGAGTATCATAAAGGTCATTATGTGGAGGGCCAGTGGGTGTTCGGAGGTGTTGAGAGATTGGCCCGACATAAGATTTTTATGGTACCAGTAGAACGCCGTGAAGCCGACACCTTGATTCCATTAATCAAGCAATGGATTTTACCCGGTTCTATTATCATTTCTGACTGATGGAAATCATACAGTTCTCTCGATTTTGATCCGGATTACACACATCTCACTGTCAACCATTCCGAGAATTTCAGAGACCCCATTACAGGTGCGCATACAAATACAATTGAAGGAGCCTGGCTTCATGCGAAGCGCTCCATGAATAAGTACGGCACTGTCAAGTCTCTCTTTGAATCCTATCTCAATGAACATATCTGGCGAGTAAAGGTATCTTGGGGTGAAGGGGACTTGTTTGATGCTCTACTTCGTGAAGTTGCCCGACAGTATCCTATTAATAACATGCCTGGATCCATTCCACTTCAGCCTGCTTCCTCCACGGTTCTTGCTGCTTCCTCTCCTGCCAACTGACTGAGTTCAACGCCTCGATCCATGTTTGGTTTTCACTAAACGCCATTACATTTACTTTTGCTGAGTGTATTATTATTTCATTCACAATAGTAAATGTATGGTGCTTGTTCGCCATGGATTTAAAAAAAAAGGAGAATAGCCGCCCCAACCAAAGCCATTACTAACCCTAAACCCTAACTAACCCTAATCCTGAAACCCCAACTAACCCTAACACCCTAAACTCAACAATATAATGATTAAATTGACCAAAACTGCGAATAATAGAATTTGGCATAATGTGACAGCTAAAATGCATTCTTACTAAATTGAAAGAATATAAAATACAAAAAAACACAACAAAAAACAAAGTGTAACACCTCAGCACCCCGTAATGTAAATTATTATTAGCGTATTTGTGAAAAAAAAAATATGTTAAACTGGTGCTTGCAAATAATTGCGCATCCGCCTGTAAACTATTGCTGGAAACTCTCAACATCGTTGGGCTTATGCAATGAGATAGCCAGTAGAGATGAAACATCACTGAACGGAGCTTATACGCACTCGCTTAGCTTGACAACCTTGTTGCTATGTAGGCGTCATAAGGCATTGTTTCGAGAATGTGCTTTGGAACAAAGTCACACTAAATTACGTAAAAGGGTATTATGACGTATTTTCAAAGTTTGTGGTGCTGTATTCTAAAGGTAGGCCAAATAGTCTTGCCATGTTTTGAATATCAACATCCTGTTCTTTAAATCAAATACTCCTGTTCCACGTGAGAAAATTAGGAGTCATATGAATATATATATAACAGTTAGAAGAATGTACTGTGAGCCATAGAAAATTCTTAACATGGACACAGTTACAAAGGCTTACAGTTAAGTATCGCGGAGTTATGTCCCTTTTTCTTCGGGTATGTGTACACCTCTTAGCTGTGTTTACATGTCGTGGCAGAACATGAAGAAGTTTCCGTGTCGCGAGTGTCAGGTCATACACAGAAACATGTATACATAAATCTATCAAATAAACTTTCATCTCATCAAAACCTGTATCACTGTATGACAAGAGGTGACTTCGTGTCAACTTTTACTGAAATGGGAGCAACATCCTATAATGCTGGTGTAGAATTTTTTAAAAAGTCACTAGGGCTGGCCACCCAATCCATAAGTTAGATAGAGGGTCAAACATTGGTTACAGGGGACAGATGAGTAGAATAAGGTGAGAAGGTGGTGAGACATACCATGGTCATTGTGTCTGGCGAGATCTCCCCGGTCTATGAACAAGTCATGATCCTTATCCAGCTCCCAAAACTTACAGTAGATCACATAGAAATGTTCGTAGGAGAAGAAATCAGTTATCTGATTAATGTCTTCCTCATCCTCAAGTAAAGCTAATGTCTGAAACACAATTATTGAACACACTTTCATTACATTCTTACATAATTCCTTCTTGACTGAAGATTTAGAGGCACAGTAGATTTACGAGGGTGACTGAAGGTCAAGGGTTAAGAGAAGAACAAAAACAATAAAATGGTGACATTGCTGAAAAATGGCCCTTCTGGTGCAAGAGAAGAACAAAAACAATAACAATGTTGCACTGACATTGCTGAAAAATGGACAACAACCTGCCCTTCTGGTGCAGTAAGGTTTCTGCTAAGGAGGATCAAAGGTTTGAAAAATGCTGAAAATAGTATGGTTTACAACAGGCATGATGTACTGATTTTATTACATCCCTGGTAATTATCACAGAATGCTTTTGTAATTAAAACTGGTAATTATCACTTAATGCTTTTGAAAATAAAACTTTACTCTAGTTACCATGATAAAAAGATAGGATGAAAGAACTGACTCCTGATCTGACGAGAGTTATATAGGAGGATGCACAAATACTCACCCTAAGTAGATTACTTTGACGTATCTCCTGTACCGTTACCCGCCCTGTCCACAACCGGTTGATGCTGAAGAACATTCGTGCTATCACCTACAACACATCATCAATAGCCAATGTCAGTGTGATCAGTATCAACCACTTATTTCATATTCATATTACAAGAAAATCTTAATGCATTATCATTCCCATCACTGGCATAATCGAGGGGCTTACACATTATAGCACAAACATCAATCTCAAAGTGTTACATTAGAGCGACATTACATAGTGAACGTGGTGGAGAGAGGAGTATGTCCCTGCAGTCTCTTACCGTATTTATATATCTAGAATGGAATTCTGGAGCTTCTTGGAGGAAACTAAGCCCTGGGTGAGATTCTACTACATCCTGAAACATAATAAATCATGAATAGAAGTACATATATCAGAAGCACATATACTATTCAAAGTTTCCTAAATATCAAGCTTTGACTAAGAGTGAAAAATAGCAGAACAAAATAGGTTTACCATTCAATTTCATGATGAACAGACAGAGTCATGCAGTCACAAGCATGATGTGCACAGGGTGTTTCACAACCTGTATTTGAATGTATCATGACAGAATCATTGCACATCATTATCAGAGAGAACAACAAGCAATCCTTACTTCCTAATATAAAGTGTTATTCCCCTGCCTGTAGTGCCAGGAGGCACAAGGTTGTCTTCATCTGGGTAGTACGAACATTTATTTCCCCTACATGTAGAAGAGACACAAGGTTGGTCCTCATCTTCAAGGTAGTTACATCATTTATCTCCCTACATGTACAGTCATCCCTCGCAATAACGCTCTTCGCAATACTGCGGGGTAATCTGTGGCTCCCATCAAATAAAAGTTGCCCATCGATCACACATCTTCAAGTCATCTAAAATAGCACATCAACAAATCCACTGTTGAGCTCTGGTTAATCACGGTGTCAACTAGTGATATTCATTGTAGATTGCAATTAACAGTTTTTATCGTACATATCCATGGTCTTTGGGATGCTTAAAACATGCAGGGTTCTCTCAATAATAATCAGACGAACAGCGAAACATCGCAATGACTTATAAAAGACAGCTTTATCATACAGACATGCCATCAGCTGAGTACTTACAATGTTTGCTGTGATGCAACACACCGCGTTATTGAGCGGGTAAACACTGCCATCCGAGAACGTATGATGTCAGAAAACACATTTTATTTGATTAAATTCCATCCCATTTTCATTCATTAAAACTGTGTACAGTAACAACAGAGAAACCGTAAGTGAAATGGCATTACCTCATTCCCTACAACGTCTGGGTCCGTTTTTTGTGCTACCGCCGCGATAGCACCAATTTCACATTTTCTCAGCAATCACGACCAGATTACAGCCTCGTCATCCATAGACCCCAAGACCCGCGTTATTGACTCATTGAGGTCATATTTGACAATTAATTGCCAACATTTTGTTTTTACAATCAAAGTGGCACATACTGCGGGAAGTCAGCGGTGACTTGTCAAACTGTCTCCTACGTACAATGTATCCAGCCAGGTAAAATACGAACTTGTGTGGCCTTTGTTTGTAATAGTTACTATAACGGTGTGTGTGTGTGTGTGTGTGTGTGTGTGTGTGTGTGTGTGTGTGTGTGTGTGTGTGTGTGTGTGTGTGTGTGAGTGAAGGTGTGTGGGTGTGTGTGTGTGTTAAAGGGGAGGGAAAGAGAGAGAGAGGGTTTTTTTGGGTTGTGTCCAATACCCATTCAAGGACCCCAAGAGGTCATGTCCCATTAGTACTACTCCCACTAGTCATACGGCAAATGAGGGATTCATTAAAACAACAACAGGCATATACCCTTTGTGCAAAAGTGCAAAATGCGTATCCTGCTAATTGGTGACCTTGAGGTTAGTTTAATCTCTAACACTGAGAATGCCACAGTCTTGGGTAATGAAAACATATGAACGAATGTTATTAAAGTAAATTACATTGAAGTTATATGACCATAATACACCACAACCGTTGATAAACAAAACAATCAATGTCAAACTCTACTGAATTTGATTGAGTTTACTCAATCTCGTAAAGAAACATAAACTAGTGCATAAAAGTTCCATGTTATAGACTCTAGCATATCACTCTTGTTATCATAGCCAAGATGCGTTAATCGACTTCGGTGCTGCCATCCAGGGAAGAAAGCGAGTGTATCGTGAAAAAGAAAACAGACTTGTCCGATTGTGCGACCAACTTGAGGCAGGCCAGAAAAACTCTGTTCAATTTCTGGATGCTGTTGGCCACCTCTACCCAATTGACCATTAACTGTGAATTTAAGTAATTTAAGTTATAATAATGCTGAAGACAGGAGAAGAATTTTTATTCAAGTGTCTATTCAATATATCACCATTTTAACATGTATACTTTGCTGAAGACAGATCATTAAAGTTCACTCATGTGAAGCTGTATTTTTGTTTCTTGGATCATTCCATTTTATTACAAAGGTATTACAAAGGTAGTTGTTGGTGCAGTCAACCATACCATATGTTGTTTTAACCCATATGACTAGTGGGACGTATGACTAATGGGAGGACACCCTTTGCTGAAGACAGATCATTAAAGTTCACTCATGTGAAGCTGTATTTTTGTTTCTTGGATCATTCCATTTTATTACAAAGGTATTACAAAGGTAGTTGTTGGTGCAGTCAACAATACCATATGTTGTTTTAACCCATATGACTAGTGGGACGTATGACTAATGGGAGGACACCCTTTGCTGAAAACAGATCATTAAAGTTCACTCATGTGAAGCTGTATTTTTGTTTCTTGGATCATTCCATTTTATTACAAAGGTATTACAAAGGTAGTTGTTGGTGCAGTCAACAATACCATATGTTGTTTTAACCCATATGACTAGTGGGACGTATGACTAATGGGAGGACACCCTTTGCTGAAGACAGATCATTAAAGTTCACTCATGTGAAGCTGTATTTTTGTTTCTTGGATCATTCCATTTTATTACAAAGGTATTGCAAAGGTAGTTGTAGGTTCAGTCAACCATACCATATGTTGTTTTAACCCATATAACTAGTGGGACGTATGACTAATGGGAGGACACCCCCAAGACCCGCGTTATGGCGAGGGATGACTGTATAAGCAACAGGTAGTTTTAGAACATATTTCCCCTATCTGTATAAGAGACAGGCTGTTGCAGCATTTATTTAACCTACCTGTATAAGAGGCAGGCAGTTGCAGCATGTATTTACCCTACCTGTACAAGCAATGGGTAGTTACAGAATATATTTTCCCTTCTTTGAGTGGAATGACATGCCTGCTTGACAAGGTACAAGAATCTGTATCGAAACGTCACACTCACCAAATAAAGAAGTTGTTATCCATAAAGTTTGCCTAGTTTTTTTTCTCTACCTGTACAAAAGGCACAAGGTCCCCATCTTCAAGGGAGTTACAGCATTTATTTCCCCTACGTGTACAAGAGGCAGGTGGTTACAGCATTTATTTCCCCCTACCTGTACAAGAGGCAGATTGTTACAGCATTTATTTCCCCCTACCTGTACAAGAGGCAGATAGTTACAGCATTTATTTCCCCTACCTGTACAAGAGGCAGATAGTTACAGCATTTATTTCCCGCTACCTGTACAAGAGGCAGATAGTTACAGCATTTATTTCCCCTACCTGTACAAGAGGCATATAGTTACAGCATTTATTTCCCCTACCTGTACAAGAGGCAGGTGGTTACAGCATTTATTTCCCCCTACCTGTACAAGAGGCAGATTGTTACAGCATTTATTTCCCCTACCTGTACAAGAGGCAGGTTGTTACAGCACTTATTTCCCCTACCTGTACAAGAGGCAGATAGTTACAGCATTTATTTCCCCTACCTGTACAAGAGGCAGATAGTTACAGCATTTATTTCCCCCTACCTGTACAAGAGGCAGATTGTTACAGCATTTATTTCCCCTACCTGTACAAGAGGCAGATAGTAACAGCATTTATTTCCCCCTACCTATACAAGAGGGAGGTTGTTACAGCACTTATTTCCCCTACCTATACAAGAGGCAGATAGTTACAGCATATATTCCCCCTACCTATACAAGAGGCAGATAGTTACAGCATATATTTCCCCTACCTATACAAGAGGCAGATAGTTACAGCATTCATTTCCCCTTCCTGTACAAGAGGCAGGTTGTTACAGCACTTATTTCCCCTACCTATACAAGAGGCAGATAGTTACAGCATATATTCCCCTACCTATACAAGAGGCAGGTTGTTACAGCACTTATTTCCCCTACCTGTACAAGAGGCAGATAGTTACAGCATTTATTTCCCCTTCCTGTACAAGAGGCAGGTTGTTACAGCACTTAATTCCCAGCATACATTTCCCCTACCTGTACAAAGAGGCAGATAGTTACAGCATTTATTTCCCCTACCTGTACAAGAGGCAGGTTGTTACAGCACTTATTTCCCCTACCTGTACTAGAGGCAGATAGTTACAGCACTTATTTCCCCTACCTGTACAAGAGGCAGATAGTTACAGCACTTATTTCCCCTTACCTGTACAAGAGGCAGATAGTTACAGCATATATTCCCCCTACCTATACAAGAGGCAGATAGTTACAGCATTTATTTCCCTTCCTGTACAAGAGGCAGGTTGTTACAGCACTTATTTCCCCTACATGTACAAGAGGCAGATAGTTACAGCATTTATTTCCCCTACCTGTACAAGAGGCAGGTTGTTACAGCACTTATTTCCCCTACCTGTACAAGAGGCAGATAGTTACAGCACTTATTTCCCCTACCTGTACTAGAGGCAGATAGTTACAGCACTTATTTCCCCTACCTGTACAAGAGGCAGATAGTTACAGCACTTATTTCCCCTTACCTGTACAAGAGGCAGATAGTTACAGCACTTATTTCCCCTACCTATACAAGAGGCAGATATATAGTTACAGCACTTATTTCCCCTACCTGTACAAGAGGCAGATAGTTACAGCACTATTTCCCCTTACCTGTACAAGAGGCAGATAGTTACAGCAGTTATTTCCCCTACCTGTACAAGAGGCACAAGGTCGTCATCATCAAGGTAGTTACAGTTGGGTTTTGCCAGGAGTTTGACAAACCGTGACGCCTCATCATGATAACTCTCCATCAGCCTGAAACAGTCAAACAGAACAACTGTGGTGTATGTGTTATGTAAGAACTAGTAAAGAAGCTACTGTGAGTAACTGTTAACCTTGAGGTCTGTCGGTATGTAGTTGTTAGCGTTTACTCTGGTCTAACTTTGGCTGTTTGTGTGGATTATTTGAATGTGTATATGGGGGTAGCATATCAGAAAGCAAGGAGTTGATGATTCAATCCAAGGGCCAGATCAGTTCAGCTGCTAGAATGACACAGTTGCTGTGTGCATTCATCCTTTCCAAGAAGCATATACAGTGTCAGAAAAGAATGTTCAAATTCAGGAAAAATGATACTTTATGTTTTTCCATCCATCCACAAGTCAAAAACTGGTGTATTTTTTCATGTGTTAGAAATGTGCATGAAGTCATATTTTTTACAATGTTTTGAGCCTTGTGCTGAGACCTCGCTCCTGACAGCTGTTGAAGGAAACCTGACACTCGTCTCTGTAGGACAACATTCTACTAGAACGCTCCACATCGTATCTTCCCAATATTCTACTCCTTTGTTGTTTAACTCATTACAGAAATTTTGGCATTTTGAGGAAGTCCTTTAAAAAAATCCTTTAAATATGCAACCATTAAAAAATATATGTTGAAACATAAATATTTCTTGTTTGCACTTTGTTTTTCACAACTTTTCATCAACAGTCTGCCACATCACATCCTTTGGCAGACATGTACTAGCCCTATGTCAGAATGACTTATCCTAAGGTATTTGTGCCATCACAGGTTCCTTGCATTATGTGTGTGTTGAGTCTATGTTAAGCAATAATTCAAAAGATTAACAGCTCAGATATAGCCAGCTCTAACCTCCTTTTTTCTTATCTACTTTAATTTATAAATCTTTGGTCCACCCATTACATGTTGTTTCACCCCCAAAAGATATAACAATTTTGACTTCCATAAACACACAGTGAGAGAAAATTCTGGAAGAGTTTTCGAAGCTAGTTTGGTTTCAGATTACGTAAGTTGTTGGGCTAACGCTTAGTCTCTGAATACATATAATTTTGATAGTAATAAACAAAACCATTGAAATTAAAAAGGAGCCAAGAACATGAGGAAATCTAGACTTGCTTCATTTAGGGCTTGAGCATTGCAGAAAGGGCTAGGCAGAAGGGAAAATAATGCCATTAAGTAAGTTGTGAGAGTGTCCTACTGCCAAGGAGGAGTCTGTGCTGACATGCACATGGATGTTGATCTGTGTAGACAGCACCACGTGGCCAGACACACTCCCCTGCAACCAGCTCAACTCTGCTGTAGCGTGGTAGGCAGCATCATGTTTAGCCAATTACAAATCTCTTTCAGATTACTGCTGACGTCACAAAGAAACAGATGCTCCAACAGAAGAGTACCATGACCTTCAACTGTCCCTGACTATGATGGCAGCAACTTCAAACTGGGCAATGTCAAACTGCCAACTGACAAAGACACAATTCATATTGCCCTAATCATTCATCATATTGTCTTTCAATAGCCCAAGATCTAATTTACACAAATTATCAGTACATACAGAGCTAAAGTTTACCACAGGTTTTCACCCAAATGGAAGCAACAAATACAGCCACCAGTCCCAAAGGAAATAAATGAAGCAAATGATTGTAATGTCTTCCAGCTGGTAGGAATTAAAAGTTCGAGATTAAAACAAACATTTCAGTAGTGAGGTTCACCATTATCAAGCCTCTACGGAGGTTGATGCTCTTGATACTGTAGTTTCATTTCACATGTTAAAAAAATCAAGGTCAGCAGCTTAAGATTTCACAACATGAAAGTACCCCACCTAATCTCTCAGCCACTTAAATACGATGATAAAAAGGATGCAGAGAAACTTTAATGAAAACAATCTCACTTCTTCCACATAGAGGCAAACATCTGGTAGGTAATATATCCCTGCTTATCTCCCCCTGATCCTCGGAACAGCGGGCACTTCCAGTAGAACGGAACACCACAAGCCTGAAAAAAGCAACAATTGTATCTTTACACATACAGTAATTCAAGAAACATGTGGACTGCAATTGCACACTTAAGAGAATCTGATGCATTTAACACACATGGTTCTAAACAAAGCCCGTTAAAATACAATTTGGCATGCATATAGAGATTTCAACAGCCATTAGAAGAACCAATAGTCTGCTGGGTTAGAACAGATCCCACAGTAGTTGTCAGAAGGAAAATCCATGTTAAAATGACAAACACCACAAGCAGGAAGTGCTATGGTTACCATGCGTCTCCGCAAAGGCAATACTGCTAGACAGTAATGACAACAAAGCATAGTTTAAACTGGTCACTTTTTACTACCCAACAGTGTATGTGAGAATCTTTACCCTACAGGGAATAACACTAACATATATGTGGATACAGGACTAGAGAACCAAGGAGCAATACCTACTTGTATCTACAAAAAGTCACTTACACAATGTAAATGGATACCATAACAGCTACTGTCAAACCCCAAATATCTGTGCACAACAAGGCTACCAGCTCCTCTTTAAAAGAAATATATAAGAAACATACATAACCTGCCTGTAAGTCCTATGTGTTAAGTGAATGTTATATTGCCATTTGCAGTATTTCAGCATTATCACTTGAGGATATGCAAGACGTGCTTAAGAGCACGGAAGAATCTGAGCCTTCAGGGTAGCAACAATCCACACCATCAGGCCAGACATTATTGGCAACAAACCATGCTATCAGACCAGACGTTATTGGTAACAAACCATGCCATCAGATCAGATATTATTGGTTATACTTCACACCATCAGACCTGACATTTTTTGCAACAATCCACACCATCAGGCTGGACATTATTGGCAACAATCCACACCATCAGGCTGGACATTATTGGCAACAAACCACACCATCAGGCTGGCCATTATTGGCAACAAACCACACCATCAGGCTGGACATTATTGGCAACAAACCACACCATCAGCCTGGACATTATTGGCAACAAACCACACCATCAGGCTAGGCATTATTGGCAAACAATCCACACCATCAGGCTGGACATTATTGGCAACAAACCACACCATAAGGCCGAACATTTTTTGGCAAACAATCCACACCATCAGGCCTGACATTAATGGCAACAAACCACACCATCAGGCCGGACATTATTGGCAACAAACCCAGCCATCAGGCCAGACATTATTCGCAACAATCCATGCCATCAGACAAGACATTTTTGGCAACATTCCACACCATCAGGGTGGACATTATTGGCAACAAACCACACCATCAGGCTGGACATTATTGGCAACAGACCATGCCATCAGACCAGACATTATTGGCAACAATCCACACCATCAGGCCAGACATTATTGGCAACAATCCACAACATCAGGCTGGACATTATTGGCAACAAACCACACCATAAGACCGAACATTTTTTGGCAAACAATCCACACCATCAGGCCTGACATTAATGGCAACAAACCACACCATCAGGCCGGACATTATTGGAAACAAACCCAGCCATCAGGCCAGACATTATTCGCAACAATCCATGCCATCAGACAAGACATTATTGGCAACATTCCACAACATCAGGCTGGACATTATTGGCAACAAACCACACCATCAGGCCAGACATTATTGGCAACAGACCATGCCATCAGACCAGACATTATTGGTAACAATCCACACCATCAGGCTGGACATTATTGGCAACAAACCACACCATCAGGCCAGACATTATCCAAACACCATCACATTATTGGCCAATCCACACCATCAGGCATTATTGGCAACAAATCCACACCACACCATCAGGCCAGACATTATTGGCAACAACCCACACCATCAGGCCTGACATTATTCGCAACAATCCACACCATCAGACCAGACATTATTGGTAACAATCCACACCATCAGGCTGGACATTATTGGCAACAATCCACACCATCAGGCCTGACATTATTGGCAACAAACCACACCATCAGGCCAGACATTATTGGCAACAAACCACACCATCAGGCCTGACATTATTGGCAACAATCCACACCATCAGACCAGACATTATTGGCAACAACCCACACCATCAGGCCTGACATTATTGGCAAACAAACCACACCATCAGGCCAGACATTATTGGCAACAGGCCATGCCATCAGACCAGACATTATTCGCAACAATCCATGCCATCAGACAAGACATTATTGGCAACAATCCACACCATCAGGCCTGACATTATTGGCAACAAACCACACCATCAGGCCAGACATTATTGGCAACAACCCACACCATCAGGCCTGACATTATTGGCAACAAACCACACCATCAGGCTAGGCATTATTGGCAAACAATCCACACCATCAGGCCAGACATTATTGGCAACAAACCACACCATCAGGCCAGACATTATTGGCAACAATCCATGCCATCAGACCAGACATTATTGGCAACAATCCACACCATCAGGCCAGACATTATTGGCAACAATCCACACCATCAGGCTAGGCATTATTGGCAAACAATCCACACCATCAGGCTGGACATTATTGGCAACAAACCACACCACCAGGCCAGACATTATTGGCAACAATCCATGCTATCAGACCAGACATTATTGGCAACAATCCACACCATCAGGCCGGACATTATTGGCAACAAACCATGCCATCAGATCAGATATTATTGGTAATGCTTCACACCATCAGACCTGACATTTTTGGCAACAATCCACACCATCAGGCCAGACATTATTGGCAACAATCCACACCATCAGGCTGGACATTATTGGCAACAAACCACACCATCAGGCTGGACATTATTGGCAACAACCCACACCATCAGGCCTGACATTATTGGCAAACAAACCACACCAGCAGGCTAGGCATTATTGGCAAACAATCCACACCATCAGGCTGGACATTAGTGGCAACAAACCACACCATCAGGCCAGACATTATTGGCAACAATCCACACCATCAGGCTGGACATAATCCACACCATCAGGCTGGACATTATTGGCAACAATCCACGCCATCAGACCAGACATTATTGGCAACAATCCACACCATCAGGCTGGACATTATTGGCAACAAACCATGCCATCAGACCAGACATTATTGGTAACAAACCATGCCATCAGATCAGATATTATTGGTAATACTTCACACCATCAGACCTGACATTATTGGCAACAATCCACACCATCAGGCCAGACATTATTGGCAACAATCCACACCATCAGGCTGGACATTATTGGCAACAAACCACACCATCAGGCTGACATTATTGGCAAACAATCCATGCCATCAGGCTGGACATTATTGGCAACAATCCACACCATCAGGCCAGACATTATTGGCAACAAATCCACACCATCAGGCTGGACATTATTGGCAACAAACCACACCATCAGGCCAGACATTATTGGCAACAAACCACACCATCAGACCAGACATTATTGGCAACAATCCACACCATCAGACCAGACATTATTGGCAACAATCCACACCATCAGGCTGACATTATTGGCAACAATCCACACCATCAGGCCAGACATTATTGGCAACAAACAATGCCATCAGGCCAGACATTATTGGCAACAAACCACACCATCAGACCAGACATTATTGGCAACAATCCACACCATCAGACCAGACATTATTGGCAACAATCCACACCATCAGGCCGGACATTATTGGCAACAATCCACACCATCAGGCCAGACATTATTGGCAACAATCCACACCATCAGGCCAGACATTATTGGCAACAATCCACACCATCAGGCCAGACATTATTGGCAACACACCACACCATCAGACCAGACATTATTGGCAACAATCCACACCATCAGGCTGGACATTATTGGCAACAGACCATGCCATCAGGCCAGACAGCACTGGCAACAATCCATGCCATCAAAGTAAACAGCCCTGGTAACAATCTACGACATCAGAGTACACAGCACTAGAAACAATCAATGCCATCATGGTAGACAGCACTAGCAACAATCTATGCCATCAGGGTAGACAGCACTAGCAACAATCTATGCCATCAGGGTAGACAGCACTAGCAACAATCTGTGCCATCAGGGTAGACAGCACTAGCAACAATCTATGCCATCAGGGTAGACAGCACTAGCAACAATCTACGCCATCAGGGTAGACAGCACTAGCAACAATCTACGCCATTAGGGTAGACAGCACTAGAAGCAATCTATGCCATCAGGGTAGACAGCACTAGCAACAATCTATGCCATCAGGGTAGACAGCACTAGCAACAATCTATGCCATTAGGGTGCCATCAGACAGCACTAGCAACAATCTATGCCATCAGGGTAGACAGCAATAGCAACAATCTACGCCATCAGGGTAGACAGCACTAGCAACAATCTATGCCATCAGGGTAGACAGCACTAGCAACAATCTATGCCATCAGGGTAGACAGCACTAGCAACAATCTATGCCATCAGGGTAGACAGAACTAGCAACAATCTATGCCATCAGGGTAGACAGCACTAGCAACAATCTACGCCATTAGGGTAGACAGCACTAGAAGCAATCTATGCCATCAGGGTAGACAACGCTACCAACAATCTAGGACATCAGGGTAGACAGCACTAGCAACAATCTACTACATCAGGGTACACAGCACTAGCAACCATCTACTACATCAGGGTCCACAGCACTAGAAACAATCTATGCCATCAGGGTAGACAGCACTAGCAACAATCTACGACATCAGGGTAGACAGCACTAGCAACAATCTACAACATCAGGGTAGACAGCACTATCAACAATCTATGACCTCTTTTCCAGATCTCATGTACCCAGTGGATCACCTTGAGTGTATATATAGCAGCAAGGATGCATGCATTCATTAATTCCCCCAGTGGACCATGGAGGGCATGACATGTTTGTATAGCTAGGTTAATATATCAGCTCAGACAGCAGCAGGAAGTGAGGGAGAATCAAAGGATGAAGGCACTCAGTGGAAAGCATAAATATTACTGGCCTTCCACAGAAAAATAATCATGTATATGCTGTTTCTCAGTTTATTCCTGTTCCTGTTTACAGAACTGTAAACTGACAGAACTGACTGTTCCTCAGGAAACTTACACAAAGTCCTGAGTAACCTGCACAAACGTGCTACTGAATACTACTATTCATTTTTATATTCATTCTGACTTGGACATTAACACCTTTTACATTCATCATGTAGGATTGTATCTCTTCTGTCCTTTACTGAAACCAGTTGATTGTTAGCGCTGCCACAGCCACAGGAATGGCCCCCATCAATGACGCTTAGTAAAGCTGAAGTTGCCACTGACACTTATAACCATTTGAAATCTGTGTGGAAAGTCAAATAGTTTGTCATGGCAGCATGATTTATGGAATTACCCAAGCATGACTATTTGTAATTAGTATCAAATGCCGATACTCTACTGTTGCTCAAGTACTACCATCGGCAAGTGGCTTTAAATCATCACAAGTGGTTTAGAACCTCAACCCTCTCTCTGAATTAATTGCCCAACCAAACCATTGCTCTAACATAAGAAAGCTGTGTGAATCAGAGCACTCCCTACATCGACATCATACACGCCAGTTCTTCATATTGTCATACATGTATACAACACATGAATCCTGTCTAGCATTGATATCACCACTTTCTTTGTAGCAAGTGACATACACATTTAAAAGCCTCCTTACAAAATCTGTACCATATGTGTTAGAGATGAATTATGGCTCGTTTATAGAGAACATGTCACAGTTCAGTGCAGAACACTGTAAGCTTGCTGCTGGGAGGTTATTCACAGCACTGCTTCAAATATGCCATACGACAAATCCAGAATTTAGGAAGGAAACATCTTTGATGGGGGTCATAATGCTGCGTTCTGCAAGAAGAAACTCAATACTGCTGGATACACCGAATGGAATAGACTTGCACAAGGCTCTAGGGCAATATTATCAGTTTAACTCATAATTTCTAGACTATATATTAAGAACAGGTACAACTATATAGATTTGCCAATTTAGGTATAGAATATACTATACATCCATTGACTTATCCCTGAGTACAAACTTGGAGCAAGGCTATTACTCAGAGAGCCTGACCATCTCCATATAAAGGTAGAGAGTTGGTGTTCAAAAGGTATTTGGAAACAAGATGAACTTGTTTGAAAACAAATTAAAATCTATGACATTAAAATACATGGGCTTATTGAAAACAGGACATTTTAGTTCCAGCCACTTACTTATCATTCAGGTTTATTAGGAAATGTGTGTTGGTGAATGCCAGGAAGATTGATAAACGATGTCAGATAAGAGTTTCTTAAGTTAAAAAGAAACAGTAACCGTCAGACAGGTTACTGTAAAACAGTAACATTTTTCTAAACCTTACTTGGACCACAATGCTGAATCTCACCTTTGCTATAAGGCCCATTTGTTGCTTGTAAGCTTTTCCACCTTCCAAGTTAGAGAATTCCTGAGCCACTTTCTGTAATACAGAGTCTGTGTTGTCAATTTTGGGTGGTCGTCCCATTGGGAAATAAAATTTGGGAATATTGGCACTACTGTGAACACTAGTCCTTGGTGTTGGCAAGTCCCGCCTCTTGGGCTTATTTTCCTTGTCCTCTGTGGAGTGGGGCACAATGACTGGATGGCTGTTTGGCTCTTTTTCTTTCTCTTGAGGACACTCATCTCGTAATATGCTCTGCAGACTATCTTCCTTCGCATTTGACACAGCCGGCTGCAGAAATACAGAAGAATTCATTAGTAGTTAATAAACTCCTGGTAATCTGGTACAAAACACGATTCAACTGGAAGCTCTGATAGTACTCTAGTAGTTATGGCCTCAGTACGATTTTCCTTTTTCATATCGCTAAACAGTAAGGCAGCAAATGATATAAAGAAGCTGAAAAAGGCAATTGTAAGACATTAATGGTTTTTACCAGCATTTCAATTCTTCACTTCATATGTATGATTTAAACAACATCACACAGACTTGGATATAACATGTATTTTGTTCAGAAACACAAGATGCTACCACATAAACATAATATACCAATGATATAATACACTAAATAATACCAAGATTATGACTTAGTTTACTTTCAGGAAGAATGATAATGTGGTTATAAGTGTGTGAGTGAGTTGGGCCTATGGTCACTTTGAACAGCAATCAAGTTATATTACTGTGTGCCTTCTTAATCTAGGATGAAAGCCCAATGCAGGTCTGAGCTGCTTTGGTGAACCCCTGAGCATGGGTAAAATGCTGATAAACCTAGAAACATAACACCAACAATCACGGCTTCCTGGTCTGCCCAAAGGAAGCAACTCTAGCACTATACTTAAACTAAAGTCAGTAATAAAATGCCAAATTGACATTAATACAAGTAACCCATGAGAGAAAGAACGCAGCCATCTGTACATGTCAGTGAGTGAGTGAGTGAGTTTAGTTTTACACCGCTTTTAGCAATATTCCAGCAATATCATGGCGGGGGACACCAGAAATGGGATTCATACATTGTGCCCATGTGGTACATGTCAGTGAACAGTGGCAACCATCTGTACATGTCAGTGAACAGTGACAACCATCTATACATGTCAGTGAACAGTGGCAACCATCTGTACATGTCAGTGAACAGTGGCAACCATCTGTACATGTCAGTGAACAGTAACAACCATCTATACATGTCAGTGAACAGTGACAACCATCTGTACATGTCAGTGAACAGTCAGTGAACAACCATCTGTACAACCATGTCAGTGAACAGTGAACAACCATCTGTACATGTCAGTGTGAACAGTGAACAAACCATCTGTACATGTCCATCAGTGAACAGTGACAACCATCTGTACATGTACAGTGTCACATGTGAACAGTGGCAACCATCTGTACATGTCAGTGAACAATGACAACCATCTATACATGTCAGTGAACAGTGGCAACCATCTGAACAGTGAACAACCATCATGTGTACAACCATCTGTACATGTCAGTGAACAGTAACAACAACCATGTACATGTGTCAGTGAACAATGACAACCATCTGAACAGTGGCAACCATCTGTACATGTCAGTGAACAGTGGCAACCATCTGTACATGTCAGTGAACAGTGACAACCATCTGTACATGTCAGTGAACAGTGGCAACCATCTGTACATGTCAGTGAACAGTGGCAACCATCTGTACATGTCAGTGAACAGTGACAACCATCTGTACATGTCAGTGAACAGTGACAACCATCTGTACATGTCAGTGAACAGTGACAACCATCTGTACATGTCAGTGACAACCATCTGTACATGTCAAACCATCTGTACATGTCAGTGAACAGTGACAACCATCTGTACACAACAGTGACAACCATCTGTACATGTCAGTGAACAGTGACAACCATCTGTACATGTCAGTGAACAGTGACAACCATCTGTACATGTCAGTGAACAGTGACAACCATCTGTACATGTCAGTGAACAGTGACAACCATCTGTACATGTCAGTGAACAGTGACAACCATCTGTACATGTCAGTGAACAGTAACAACCATCTGTACATGTCAGTGAACAGTGTACAACCATCTGTACATGTCAGTGAACAGTGACAACCATCTGTACATGTCAGTGAACAGTGGCAACCATCTGTACATGTCAGTGAACAGTCTGTACAACAACCATCTGTACATGTCAGTGAACAGTAACAACCATCTGTACATGTCAGTGAACAGTAACAACCATCTGTACATGTCAGTGAACAGTGACAACCATCTGTACATGTCAGTGAACAGTGACAACCATCTGTACATGTCAGTGAACAGTGACAACCATCTGTACATGTCAGTGAACAGTAACAACAACCATCTGTACATGTCAGTGAACAGTGACAACCATCTGTACATGTCAGTGAACAGTGAACAACCATCTGTACATGTCAGTGAACAGTGAACAATAACCATCTGTACATGTCAGTGAACAGTGGCAACAAGTGAACAACAACCATCTGTACATGTCAGTGAACAGTGAAACCATCTGTACATGTCAGTGAACAGTGACAAACAGTGACAACCATCTGTACATGTCAGTGAACAGTGACAACCATCTGTACATGAACAGTGACAACCATCTGTCATGTGAACAGTGACAACCATCTGTACATGTCAGTGACAGTGAACCATGGTAAATGTCAGTGACTGGACATTTCAACAAAAGAAATAAAGTGGCAAATCAGTGACTGTTTCAATAAAGAAATTGCTGGTGATTGCATGACATCTTAATGGATTATGTGGCAAGATTTTCAGTGTTTATGTTCCCATATACCCAAAATGATCAGGCCACGGTCTCGGTAATAGAGTACTGTACCGAAACTGGCTGCACAGTAGGCAGGGTTTGTGTTCAGTACTGAGTACTGATGGACCTGATTTTAAATTGTCTACATTTTTCATGTTAATGATGAAGTAAGTTGTCTCTGACTATATTACTGTTATTTGATCTTTAGAATTGTCTTCCATATATATATATGTGCACAAGGTTTTACACAGACTATTAAAAATGGAAGTTGTGGTGACTCACAATATTGGGATTCATTTTCAATATTTGGGAGTCATGAAAATTTCTTTGTCTTAATCATTCTCAGTATATAACTATGTATGTCACACCACCAAATGAAACTACAGCATTATTCAAATCAAACAGCCAGGATTATTGTCTCCTTTGAGTTCTTTGAACAATCTGACAGCTCTGTAAAAGCCAAATCGATCTTATTGAACTGAATTGTGAGGGCCACCCATAAAACTTGTGTCAAGCTTTACTCGTATGATAATGTTTTGAGAGTCGTTTACAAAATTGTAGCTTCAAATGCGCAGGAATCAAGCGTCATGTAAAACCCTGATGTGCACACCATTATTTTATCTTTATACCTCCATACACGCTGAAACATATGGAAGTCAATTTTAAACTGACCAATAACAACTGATAAATCAAAGAGACATGCACTCAATCTCAAAATGCAAATTATTATCAAAGCATTACGCATTAACAAATAGTGGCTGCCTTTGCCCCTGCCCTGTGCATGCATCCCATCAGCATGTTGATCCAGAACTGATAATATTTCACAACTCTCACAGATGAATTCTAAAAGATGATTTGAAGGTGATCATTTTAGAATCCCCCTAGAAAACTGTAAAATAAAACCACTGAAAAATACTATGATGACTCATGCATCTGAATGAGCAAGAAAAGTTCAAAGCTGAACCACACATCCTCCTCCTGCTCCTCCTTCTCCCCACTGTGCCAGGCTCCATACATATCTGGCAGGTCAGTGCTGCAAGATTGCAGTCTAGCAGTCACACCTCTTACAATATGGATTTACTGTTTTGGAACAATGGCCATATTTGGAAAAATAAGAACTTCCACAATACATATAACTGAATTAAGTAAGTCTGAACCCATCAAAGCATAAATGTTGTCTTTACAAAACATACAAACAAGCATCCAGATGACGTTTTGATCCATTCAGTAATCATTCACAAGTAAACATTCACACTGGGTATTGTCTTTGGCTATACAGTGTACTGTTACACCATTGATCCGGTCTATTTAGCATTGTTTACACCTATGAGTGACCAATTTTGCTTAAATACTGTTTCAGGTGACATTTGTTTTCAGTTTTACCCTAAGTGTGTACCATGTGACATAAACACACACCTGTAATATACAAGTCACATTAACAATACGCTAGGCACAGCGCTGATGCCTTATATACTACAGTAGACTGGAGTTATGTATATGTACTGTGAACATATTTAAACAAATGTAGGTAAAAACATGTACACTGGGTAATTATGTAAAGTGTGTTACTCTAATGGTTAATAAAAGTCAGCGATTCAAAATACACAGGGTTATGGTGAATCATTTTGTGTATTTTATGTCAGTCCACAGTGGATCTGTGAAAGCAACAAGTGGCCAAACATTTCACTGACTTGTGGCCCTGAAAAGCTGCAGCAATCAAGTTGGAAGGTTGAGTTTACGGGATCAGCCCAGGCCTACTCATCATTGTAGGGCTAATCCCTGCAGCCTGGAGCTGTCCATTAACATACAGATTGGTGCAGCTGCAGCACCAGCACTCTCACTTACTCACACAACCTAATTCCCTGGCTATGAATCAGGCACCATGGCCTCTACAACTCTACTAGGAGGATTTCAGCTTTCTGCAGTTTTCAACAGGACATCATGAAATGTTTTCACAAACACAATTGCCTTAATGACTATAATCCTCAATAGGAACTCCTGAACTAACTATAATCAAACATTTCCAGATGATAAAAAGATATTCAACAGTGTTCATAGTAATAGAATTTTGAAAGAAAAACTGTAATGATGAATGTCAAAATAATTATTCCCTTCTTACACTGACATAGAACAGTAAAGTTTGACAACAAAACACTTGCACTTGAAGTAGCTTGTAAATGTTTTGATGCTGTCAGAAAGTGAATCCCATGTGTTACAACCTCTACAATCACCAGGACATCTGGAAAGTGCAGGGGTGAAACTGGCCTCTCATCTGAAAGGTCAGATAGGGTCAACCAAGGCCAGTGTTGAAGCTGAGGGGCATGTTACAGAAAGTGCCATCTTACACTAAACACAGCCCCACAACATGTCTACTGTAATGCCAATATTTACTGGTCAAGCCAGTCCTTTATACAAACATAATAAGCATATGGAGAACCATCCCATGGCTGGCTACAAGG